TGAGCCACATCTGTGTAGAAAACCACTAGTGCCTGGTCGTTTTTGTTCGGCACTATTTGCTTGCCCTATGCATCCTTTCTAGGCATTTACGCGATGCCGCAAAAGCTTGGGCGTTTCAAGCAATGCTTGACTTAACCTAGCATGCATTGTGATAACAACACATATGATCTACTGCATGCAGATAATCACACTTTAAACGTGAAAAGCAGCCTAAGCTGTACATTTTTTACCTCAAGCCATCTGAGGGTTGTTCTAGACATTTATCACTGTGGGCAACCTGCGGATGGCTTGAGGCCCAAAGATCGGTGTACATTTGTCCTGCTTCTTATGTTTACAAGATTACTTTTGGCATGCGGTTGATATGCCTTCTTATGAAAATGTCTACATTCATGTCTAGGGGTGAAATGCCTTTTCTGTCATCGACGAAATTGGAACGGCCTAAATTGTCACCTGGAGTCAAATCTTTCAGAAACCGTTGCACTTTATCTCTAGATGCGATAAACCGCAAAAGCAAAAATAAATCCAATGCGATGCCGCACAACATAACCATCAAGCATTTTAGTTTCGGGAGTTTATTTGCACTGATAAAGGCGAACTTAGTTTCATTTTCAGTTGAGGGTGGGGGAGGGGGTGGAGGGTGAAAGCGGGTTGTGTTCTCTGACCAGGAATGCAATTTCTCTTCTAGTTATCCGTTTTTCGACTATCTTTCAGTTATCATAATTTGGGGGTTCAGTCACTAAAGCTAATTTTAAGAAACTGCACACCTACTCCCAACTGTGAAAAGAAAGTGTATCAAATCTAGGGAGAAATCTGTTCTAAGTGCACGTCAAAGGCAGGCTCAGACATTTTTCTTCCTGCGCCCTTTCCCTTTACCTCGCTTACCCCCCCCCCCCCCCCCCCCCCATCGTACGTACAATCAGCTGGAAGCGTTGGCGACCTTCACCATCTTCGCATCATCATCGCCGGTGCAGAGCTCTTCCTTCTTCTTTTCTTCTTCGCGCTTCTTAACATGATCCCAATTATTTAGAACAAAAGCCATGCAATGTTGGTATCAACAGATGCAAACAACATTTTTGTACCTCTTAAGCACCCTCTTTAGCTTTATATTCAATACGATGACGACTAAAAGCGTTTTATCAAACGCCTGTCCACCGATCAGAACGCTAAGTCTGACGTGTAACGGGCGATGCCGAAGGCCTACACTAGCGACGTTCGGTCTCTTAGCCCAAAGCCGCTGCTCCCTCCAGCAGCACGGAGCCCGGATGAGTGCTTGATATGTTTCGCTTTAACAGTCTCCGTTTGCCTCTGTAGCTTCACCCCAGGAATCCACAAACAACAGTCCTCCTAGATTGACAAAGCTTTTTAACGCTATTTGCTTTAAAAAAAAACTGACGGTTAGCTACAATTGCTTGTAGCCAGTCAGCTTCTCACGACATGAACACAGCCAACAGCAGCCCGCCGCCTTGCACTGAACCCGGGTGCAGACATTGCCGCTCTCCGCCTATCACAAGCCACCAATCGCATACGTTCTCCGCATTTCACCAGACAGGAAGTGCACCGGGTCCGATGAACTCGCATAGGCCAACAACAGCAGCCATATTTCAGCGCATTCAATGCTCTCCACAAATCGAATCCCGAAAATTTCACCGCCGACCAACTGGCACCCAATCATGCGCCTCCAATTGCATCGGGCATCGCCGGCGTAGCTTTTCATTGAATCTCGGCATACAATCACGTGGGGAGGCGTAGCTCCGTGTGATGATGCTGCGTTCCCAGTGAGTCGGCGGTGGGTTCACTTCCCGGGGCAGCGATCATTTTTCGTTTGGGTCTTTTTTGCACGCTCACATCGTCTCCTCCGGAGCATTTCATAGGCACGTAATGCTATTTATGCAATGCTCATGCTGTGTACAGTTCGGCCATTATCAGTTTGATTATACGGTCAGGTGCCGGTCGTGATGAAAACTCACACAGACATTCGGCCGCCACGTTCTATTATCGGCTCGAGACGTACGCTCCATGTATTAAGCCAGGGCCGCAGACTAGCCTGTACTTACGAGTCGGCCGAGTGTGACGTGAACCACGTCGCCAAGAAAAGCCCCCTTGAAACAAAGATAATTGGATTTCAATCACTTCATTTCGGGTGGTTCGGTGTTTTTCGTTCTATTGTATATGTCCCAATCTTTTATTGAAATACAAGCCACCAGAAAACACAATTCTACCCATATTTATAAGACAGTTCCTGCGACATTTCTGTACCAATGCAAGTCAGCGGCTTTGTGATCTCCACCTGGTCCTTTAATTGTTGGCACGTGGCCGCTGTGCCCCACCCCCTACCTGCACGTCTTATTGAGTACCAAATTTGAACTGTGAATGAGAGCTTATGACGATTATTCATTTAGAGACAATGGAAGGGTGCTGTGCCACTCAGGGCCCTCAGTATTGAATGGTGGGCATTCCAGCATGGGCCCGTTAAGCCGAACTGGGGTCTATGTGCCATTTGTTGGACAATCTCGGCTCAGCTGGGCGCGCCGCCACGCGCGGACGCTAGCGTTCCTCGGCTCCTTCCTAGGCCTCACGCTCCTGTCGGGAGCCAACTCATAACCCGCACCAGTGCACTCCATCTTGTGGGGCCCTCCACACTGGGTCAGGCCCGAAGGGTCCGCAAGGCCTGACGGAAGTCGTATTCTGTGATGACTTTAAGCTGTAAAAGAGGTAAATGGTCCGCACCTCCCTGGATTTTAGCCTGAGCGTGCTTAGTCAAAAAATGGTTGCCGAAAAGGGTTTTCTGTTTTCTGTTTCTGTTCTGTTTTTCTGTTTTCTTTTTAGCATCTTGCAGGTGTCCATTATATCTCCGGTTGATGTGCAGTCGCGTATGCAACTCACGCCGTATATGCAATGTATGTGTATGTGTATGAAGGATATGACTGACTATGCCAACTTCTCAGCCGTCAGCCACGTGGCATCAGCCGTTTCCAGCGCATCTAGCGCACGAATTATTTAGAGTCTTCAGGGGGCGCCGGCACGTTTGCTTAGGAGTCGACGGGCGCCGCGGGCGACAGCGGCCGTCAGGAAGCCATGAGTTTGCGGCAGGCATTTATGAGCGGTTCTGGTTTCGGGGACACGAGTTTACCTGGTACGCTTGTCGGCCAGTGGCATAACAGAGCAGCACAACGCACTACACGTGCGAACCGCTTGCCAGTCACGATTCGGCGTCCGGTGCGTCAGCAAGTAGACTGGCCAGCGGCGAAGTTTGTTAGTTTCACGATTGCCAAGTTTTTGAACAAGAGAGCTGTTGCCTTCCTTGATGTTTCTGAGTGCTGTTTGTGCTGAGCCACATCAGTCAAGTCACGTCTTCGAGAATATCTTGTCGTTTTCTTTTTTAAGATAAGTTCAAACGGTGTTTAGGAATACCTGTTTGAGACAACGCTAACCCATTTGACCAGAACAATTGTCTTCAGAGGTCCGGGGAACCTTTAACGTGTCATCAAACGCACTGACACTGTCACGCCGTACGATCGTGGAGACCCTTTCGCCTCCCAGTAACTGGCATCTGCGAGGTCAAACAATCCGCCGCCTCTGGGACCGAGTACCAGGTGCCTGCCACGTGCTGGAGTTGGGAGTCTAAGCCACCCGGCCACGACTGCGGAAACCAGCATAACTATAAATATATGTGTCATACCCCAATGATCAAACACCGAAGCATAAGATTGCAAGGGCTGCGAAGCACGCGGTCGTCGCTTGAAAAGGCTGTGTCCTATGAACCGAAAGCACAATGGACAGCGGTGATCATTTAATTAAACACAAAACATAAAATGACGATCTAAATCATTTCATACACGGCTAAGTCAGCATTCATATAGGCCGCGCCGATAAATATTTAAACATAACGTGTACTCGTCAGGCAAATGAGATAATAGTGGTAATCATACACAGGAAATATCTGCTATGCGGTAGTCATTTCAAGTGATCACATTGTGAGTCAAATAGGGTAATAATAGTAATTGTATGGAGTTACACGGAAAGTCAGCAATGCGTGACAGATGAAACGCGATTTTTTTCCTAAAAAAACGTGCAACACTATACACCTATGACAAATATAGGTACGAATTTTCAAAAATTGTGCCTTCGGCCCACTGTAAAAGTGGATCAACTCGGTTATCTTAAAGAAGGGCAAGTCAACGCACGGTAGACCAGTCCATGCCTAAGGCAGGCTGTTTTCCAAAAGTTTATTTTGTTCTATGGTTTAATGGCTCTATGGTGTAATCGTTCTACGGTGTATGGTGTTGTGATTCTATGGTGTATGGTGTTATGGTTCTATATTGTTAGGAAAGACAAGTGAGAAAAGGGTAGTGTTGCAGGCATCAAACCAATTTATCACACCAACAAGTAGAAGTGCTGATCTGAAAACATGGACCAAAGCAACGTAAAATCGATTCAAAGTCGGTCAGGGTGGCGGCCGTCGCCGACGGGCGGCGGATCAGTGGAGCTGGCCGTCGGCGGTGGGTGGGAACAGCGCTCAATCAAGAATAGCAAAAAGGGCCAAAATTTTGTGCCGTAGGTTTTAAGGGAGAAACCAAGGCTTTGTGGTTTTTGCCGTAGAAGCAGGTGCCTCTCACAAATTCAACATGCCTCCCCACTTATGGCCTTCCCGGTAGAAATCATGCTGAGACGGATGAATAACGCTAGAAAACTAGGTACTGGTGTTTTCCAAATGATACTGATGAGTCGATTAGGCAAGATTGTGCAGCAGTGCAGGTGTTGCTATGTGGCATAGCAACTGGAATTTACCTATCTCCGAAATGTGTTGTCTTCGATTAAGAGCAGACAAAGTCCTCCATTTTCCATCTCTAGTCCCCCTCCCCAACCGGCGGTTCGGACTTGCTTCTCAGAAGACGTTTCAAGTAAGCCGTGAGTCTGCCCCCCCCCCCCCCTCCCACTTTTTGAAACCTTCCCACGCCTGTGAACGATTTATATTAGTGTCATGCAATTGCGATGGCATTGAATGGTTGAGCACGCAGATCATTCTAAGTCTGATAGTATGGATCGTCAATATATCTCAAAACACGCTGTTCACACTGCAACATGACGAGGCAGCCATTCGGATACGTTCTAAGCTAACGTTGTTTACGCAAAGGTATCTACCGTAAATTCGTCAAAACATTGCACCAAAAATGAAATGCGACTGATCACTGTATTACCACCAAAACATCATCATGCTATACGCCTACTCCAGATCCTATATTCGCCTGCAATAAGCGTTAGAAAAGTTCCCCACAGTTATCATCATAACAACACACCGAACGCTTCATGATAAGCCCTTGAGGGGGAAAGATCAGCTCCGTGAAAAGGGCTCCCAGTCAGCCTCTCTGTGAACTAGTAGTTTTTAACCCTACGAGGAGATGGCGCTACAAACGTTCATTTCAACAGCACCTCGGCGTTTCGCACGGAGGGTCAATGAACTTGCAAACCTACGCCACGCCACCGGCGGCTGGCCGCGTTCAGCGTCGCCCGGTGACTGCGATATTCACACCGGGTGAGCTCGGTGACTGCGACATTCACACCGGGTGATGAACCAGCATTTTACTCATAAAGATGGTTGCTGTGATCCGGAGTGAATGTGAAACGCGTGGGACGTCGGCGTCGAAGGCTTGCGAGCAAACTGACGACCGGTAGCAGCAATGTCTGCGACAAGTGCGTGCATCACAAAATAACCCCATCACTGCATGATGGTGTACAGCCCCATCCGGTGCCACCGGTCTTCAAAAGAACACATTACATGCGTGTATCTGCGTCTTGGCAACCACCGCACTGTTCATGTTTTGAGAGAGGTTGGCCATAGCATCCGTCGGCTGCTCGTGCAGTCATGTCCTGAATGAACTCTCGCCTGCGGAAATATCACGCACTCCACATCGGTCGATGTGTTAATAACATAACCACCCCGTCACCCGCCCCGGCCGCTCGGCCGATTTCCTGCCCACTCAGTGGTGCACGCATCATCCAGCATTCTCTCCACTGAGTGGTACTTCTTGCACACGATTCATAAGACGCTGGTCTCCACTTCGCCATTTTCTACGACTCATATTCAGGAAGAGGTGATCTTCGAGAGAGCTCCATCATCTTCATCACTCCATTGTCCTGAGGGCAATAAGCACACATTCGGTAAAATGACGGGAATATCGCGGGTAGCGTTCGAGATAACGCAGTATTAAAGATGGGTGGCCGGCCGGTAGTCTGCATGGTCAGTCAACACTCAGCTGACGACGGCCCGTCATCCGAGCCAAATCGAATCCTTTTGAGTTGATTAGCACGGTCACAAAGTCGGGTGGCAACTGTTTGACTGATGACAGCTGCCAACCAGCCTTGCCCGGTTCACAAAGATCTGAGTGTCTCTGACGTCAGCCAGTGCAGGTCCGGTCGATATCTCTCCACTCACAAGCTCGTACCATCTCAAAGCTCGATGCCTCTCCACTCACGAGTCCGCACCATCTCAGGGCTCAATACCTCTCCGGTCACGTCCCCGCACCATCTCAGAGCTCGACCCTCTTCAATCACGTCCCCGCACCATCTCAGAGCTCGATGCCTCCCCATCCACGTCCCCGCACCACCTCAAAGCTCGACCCTCTCCAGTCACGTTCCCGCACCACCTCAGAGCTCGACCCTCTGCAGTGACGTTCCCGCACCATCTCAGGGCTTGACCCTCTCCAGTCACATCCCCGCACCATCTCAGAGCTCGACCCTCTGCAGTCACGCCCCCGCACCATCTCAGAGCTGGACCCTCTTCAGTCACGTCGCCGCACCATCTGAGACGCCAGTCAGCTAATCCGACCACGTTAGCATGACGCGCACAATGTGAGAGATCGTCTGAGAACACTTCGACGAGATACAACGGCTGCGGTAGCGCACTGAGCCAACACAAATGAAGCCCCTCTCTTTCTAATGCATCAGTCATGGGTGGATATTTCAGCACCGCAAACAACACCCGGTGGGATTCGGCAGCCGAGCTGTGCAGCCGAGCCGGGCGGCAGCCGAGCCGGGCAGCCGAGCTGGGCGACCGCTGAGCTGGGTAGCCGAGCAGGGTAGCCGAGCAAAGCAATCGAGCAATGAGGTCGAGCTGGGCAGCCGAGCTGGGCGGCCGAGCCGGGAGCAGCGCTATTGACAACACCACTGACAACGTTGTCTGGGCTGGGAGCCGAGCGCGGGCCTCACCTCCGAGTCGCGGCAGGGCGTGAAGCAGTACCGTCCAGCCACCGCGTAGTGCGGCTCGCCACCCGCCATCTGGGGTCACACAGGCGGTGCATCAGTGATCGCTCTGGCGACAGGCCACTGGCAACAGACAGGCGCCGACAAACGAGCCTGGGACAGGGCTACGCCTCCTGGCCAGGGGTTTGTAGGCTTGTTAAAAGTGGTTTGCATACGGCTGACTTGTTGAATTCCGAGATGAAATCGTCGATGTAGTCAACCGCTGGCAACTGCTATCAATATATGCAATTCAAAGACAAAAACAACTGAGAGCAAAGGAAGCGATCAAAGGCATGTAAACGTGTCGAATTTGATATGAATCACGCAAGTAAGCGATAAAGCACATTTGGAAGGAACATTATGTGTCTGGGCAGACAGCACTAACATATTTACTTCTCACGGAATAGCCAGGACAATACACCTCATTTGTACATTCTCATGGTTCTTCTACGGGCATTCAGGCTATTAATCCTGTCTTATCTATTTGATTTGTGCCCTGAAAATAACGCGAATATTTTGACAGACACATCACGTTAACGGCTTGAGAATATACAACTTACATGGCATAGCGGGTTTATGTAATGGCATGCATTGTAATGTTTAGTATCAAAAATAACCATGCGCACACATTGATGAGCTCTTCCACAAAGGCACAAGAAAGGAGTATGCAAACCGAAAAAAAACATGAACGCCTGGTGGGAACAGTACACAATGGTTAAAAAGGGCACTTCTGACCGAAAGCCATTTAAATAAACAGTTCACATTTGTGTTTTCCCCCCATAAAAAGAACAAAAGAGCCCTAGCACTTGACCTTTAACTCGGGTGTGTTGAACGCTACGAAGTCATTTCGAGGAGAGGCACTTGACTGATAAGGTGACTTGGAGTCTATCGCCGGCTGCGTGAACAGATAAACACTGAGCACCTCGCAAAACCAGTTCGATCGGATAGTACAACCACCAAGCGGTTTGGGTCCGCGTTTGGGGTGATATACGCGTTCTGCAGGTGCACTGGTCTTTCCACGTCTGTGCTGACTTGTGACTGACTAAAGCGCAATCGAATCAGTCTCCGGAATCGACTTCATTTTGGCCGGTGGCGGTTTCAGATCAGGTTCACTTGCATAATCAGCTGAATCGCATACGCGGTGTGACGTGCCATGTTTTTGCAAGGTAGGTTTTGTGATGAATGTAGTTGCGTGAAATAGGGCCTTAATTGAGAAGCAACACGGTCATAAAGGCTCGCAGCCTGAGACCAATCGCATTATAAGTGCACTGGACGCGTCAGTGAATTACGTGCGTTCGGTTCCTTTGATGCGCCGTTGGATTTCATCCGCACGGAGAAGCGCGGTGCCGTCACAGCCAGCCCTCTGCACGTGCGAGGTGAGTGACTCGGTACCTGCACGACGTGTGGTGGCACGGACTCGGCCACGTCTATCCTGCCCAGATCCGTTGGACAGCCCAGCGCGCAGCGCCGGCGGCGCCGACACGAGGCGGCGTTCGGAGCACGTGCTGGCGGTCGTCCTTCAGCCAGCCCAAACGACAGAACATCGGCCCGCCTTGGCCTCAATCGGACTGTGGCGCACTGTGTCGAGGTGTCGCCATATCTTTCTGGCCAAGCGCACGGCAGCCGTCCGGCTACCGGCATGCTGTTCTGTCTGCTCCTCGGTCTGCTGGGCACGCCAGGCTGGCCATGTGCTGGATCGCTCGCCCTTATGTTCATCCATATATAAGCCGTCCTAGTAGCTTGCACCGACCGGTTTGCCCTCGCCTTGTGGTAGTTTTCTTTCCACCTTCGCCCTATGTGTGAGCAGACTTCAAAGATCCCCCTCCAAAGATCTAAAAAACTATGCAAGTTGATGCTCCGCGGAACATAACATTAAAAAGCTCTCGTCAAACTGCATCAAAACCGCCATCAAGGTTCAAATCGTAATGACACCTTTAAAGAGTAACATCAAGTTACAAAAGTCAAAACCTGATCTAGATTGCCCTTTAATAACCTGAACTTGAAAACGTCACTGACTCGACTTCAGCATGCGTGCACTTGCACTTCAAAGTGATATCAATAAGAAAGGCAGTTCAACGCTGGTTGTCATTTTTTAAGCAAATGTCTATGCAACCCTCCAGAAAGAGGGTCGGTGGTCGCAAACCGCCAAAGTCAGAAATTTCTCAATTTCACCACGTAAAACGGATAAAAAATCATGCATCTCAATTTTTAGAACCGCGACTCCAAACAGTCCAGGGTTTACTCCATAAAAACCTTAGTGCAGCCTGTGAGGTCCCCTTGTATGGCAACAGTTAGACGCGCCACTCTTCTCGGATACGCAAGGTCCTGTTAGTGTTTGGGTAGTTGACGTGCGTCAGTCAGTTTAACGGCCTCTTTATCCGCCAGCCTTGGCATCGTAAAGCCGAGGCGGGCACTTTGCTTGTGATGTGTCGCCGCCCAGCGACGATGCCTCGACTGGCTCCACTTGTGTGGCAGGACAAGGTTCGCAGCAAAAACCATTGACCCAGTGACGTACACATCAGTTATCTTCGATAAAACGTACACAAACTGTTCTGCTTTTTACTCGCCTAGCCGCTCGGTCAACAGTCACCACGGTACACCTCTGATCTGCCCTGCGGGCCGTCTGCACACTTACGACCTTAGCTAATGGTTGACTGTATCCAATTGTGGCCTGCTCTGTTTGCTCTCCGTGTGCAGATGCGACCTGGCCCGCAGTCTGCCTATGTACAATTGCGAATGACCCGCTGCCAGCTTGTGCACCTATGTGACGTCACTGGGCCTGTTGGCTGCATTTGTAGCAGTGCATGCTGCTCCGTTGGTTGTCTGTGTGGCAGCGCGGGCTGACCAGTTCGCTGTCTGTGTGGCAACGCGGGCTGGCCGGTTGGCTGTCTGTGTGGCGGCGCGGGCTGGCCGGTTGGCTGTCTGTGTGGCAGCGCGGGCTGACTTGTTGGCTGTCTGTGTGGCAGCACGGGCTGGCCTGTTGGCTGTCTGTGTGGCAGCGCGGGCTGACCTGTTGGCTGTGCATGTGTGGCAGTGCGGGCTGGCCCGTTGGCTGTCTGTGTGGCAGCACGGGCTGGCCTGTTGGCTGTCCGTGTGACAGCGCGAGCTGACCTGCTGGTTCCCTGTGTGGCAGCGCGGGCTAACCTGTTGGCTGCCGTTGAGCGGTGGCGGGTCGTGGGCGCCGCGCGGTACGCCCGCCGTTGCCGGCGTCATGCAGCGGTCGCAGTGGCGGGTCAGAGCTGGACGCTGATCAGATGCGTGACACCGCATGGCGAAGCACAGCTCCTCCACCATTTCGGAGCACAGTGATTGCTGCCGATCACAGGTCACGAGCGGGCTCGACCACATGACGCGTCTCAGCTGGAAGTCCTATACACGCGGGCCGGGCCGGTGGGGAGTGCTACACAGTGGGATTTGAAGAACATTGCGAGAATGGTACAAGTAGCGGTATGGACTTAAAAACTACCAGATGCATGACTTAAAAAATATTAAAGGTAATTGGTGCACGTTGTTGAGACAACTTGCGGCATCCGTATCGCATAAAATTACTTCCGTAAAATGACAAAGCAAAGTTTGACGTTTGCTCTTTCGTCCCATTTGGACCCATACCATTGGAAAGTGTCAAAGTGGCAAGTAAAAACACATTTGGAATCGATAGCGGGCGGGTGCGGCCAAGAGAGCCCACCGGTGCTGGTGGACTGGGTAAAAAAAATGTAATCCACGAATGTACCTAAAGTCAGCACGGGTATAAAACCGATAGCACTCATTTGTGTCAGAGCATTATTGACTGGCACTGGCCATCTTGGGTTTCATGGTGTGACAATGCTGATGGGCAGGGCGGAAGGACTAGTGCTCTCCTGGAAAGAACACAGAGTATCTCAAGTAAAAGCATTCCCAGTGAATGCAAACGTTTTTCTACAAGTTAATCTTTGAATAAGTTGCGCGATGAACGGGACGGTCTTACCTTATCTAGCTGAGCGTTTCGCTTCGCCGTCCAGCAGAACTCCACGATTGCCACGCACACCGCGAACGCCAGACCGCAGAGCAGCACCACAAAGACGCCCCCTGTGCCGGACACGGGCGGGACAGACAGTAAGAGGAGTGGCGCCTGGCTACCAGGCGCGACCAGCTAAAGATTTCAGCGTACGCAAGCTGCCTGAGCACCGCGGCCAAAGCCGCTCCATTACGCGGTGCTATATATGGGCACATTATTTGACGGCCTAGGCTGCATAGCTATGGGAAGGTCGTAGGCTTAATGTGAGTCAGTCCCCGGGTACCCGAACAACCCCGACATTCGTCGTGCTGTTCGCCACATGCCTAAAACGTCTGATCACGCCCGCCCGGACTGCTGAGAAGCAGGGTGACTATGGAACGGATGACTCCAACACGTCTCTTCGCACGGACCGGGAGCTCACCTATGTTTGCCACGCCCAGCTCACTGGCCTTGGACTCTTTGTTCTTGTCATCGCGGTTGCAGGAGCCGACGTTGTCTTTCCACCATTTGTTGTACAGGGTGTGGATAACGGCCTTCTCCTGCAATTCCAGGATGGCCAGCGAGATCGGGTCTCGCCACGGGGAGCCTGCCGAGACGCCACTCACGTCAGATGGGTCCCGCTTCGGAAAGCTGTCTGGGTCACATCCCAGGTCAGAGGGGTCTCGCCACGGAGAGTTTTCTAAGCCGCTGCCCAGGCCAAAGGGTCTCCGCCACAGAGAGCTTTTCAAGCCACAGCCCAGGTTGGGTGGATTCTGCCAAGGAGAGCTTGCCCACTCAGACACAGCGCAGGCAGCGACCATGGATGGGAGTCAAACGTTTGGCGTTCCGGATGGCCACGACTTGGTCAGCGTCACTGTCATAACATTACATATATTAGGATCATAATAAGTTAAGATATTATCCGGTGAGACCTGCACCTAGACTTGTGTCGACTCAGAGCATGACAAAAGGCAGAGGGTGCCTTTCAGATACGTTGCCAGATCTGCCAGACTTGCCGACGGTGTCCCAAATCCAATGACCAGCTGGCGGACCTGATACACTGATCTATGACATAGCTTGGTCTGATGATAGACGATAGTCATATTATCTCAGTGGTATACTGGATATGCTCATATTCTGACAGATGAGATGATAAATCGATCACGACACATCGGACCGTCTGATTAATATATGCGTAACAGCAACTAAATCTGACCGTGTAGATGGTGCCAGATCCCGCTATCTAGAAGACAACATCACTGAAAGCTACATTAGAGTGGCCGCAGAGTGAGATGGTCGCATTTGCCATCCTTTGCGGTGGTATCATTCTGCGACCATGTAGAGACGAGAATATGCAGCGATTTTGTGTTGTTTTTTCGTGGGTTCATTTTGTCTTTGGCGTAATATCTTTATCACTTATTTTTTTTAGTTGGTCATTTATTTATGCTCATAATTCCTCCAGCTTGCGGACATCGGTGGCGGTGCTGAAGGCTCAACGGAGAAAACTTTATCCCGCCAGGATTAAGTGTATAAGCATAAGGTGCAAGGCTCATACCATGTACTTTAGGTTCTTATAATGTCCTGGACTGCCAATACTTCTTTCCCGGGCGCTGACGTCGGTCCGTGCAAACCTCGCTCGGCTGGCGGAGGAGAGTGGAGGGAGAAGTACACCTGGCATCTTCACACTGCAAAGGCTAGGGGACGAACGGAACGCCATTTGATGGGTCATGCACAAATCATGCTTGTGTTAAGGCCAGGGTCAAGGTAGTGTTTGTCGGTTCCAGTTCCGGCGGTCAGAGCGCCTGGCCTTCGTTCACCCACCCGCGTTGGGTTGGTCTTGCGTCGCTTCAGACAATCACTATCTGCCCCTGACTGAGGCGGTCTGCAGCCGGTGGGAGCAGTGACGCGAAAGGTCAACTGACATCAGATAGTAGGACGGAGCCTACCGGGCGTTCCGGTGCGTTAACGTTTCGCCAAAATGCCCTACGGTTCACCAGGAATTCACTATCGGATGGTGGAGCCAGGACTTATGCAACAAATACTGCTTGGCGTAGGCGCCAATCCCAGAAATCCATCCAGTTACAATGGTCAGCTCAAATCTTAATGCAAACGTACTTGTCCAGTCAAACGTACTTCTCTGTCTGATGTGGTTCTCTCCGAATCACGCCTCTCGAGCTTATCTCCGCGCGAACCTGTCTACCTTAGATGTTATCAAAACTGCATATAAACAATCCGTATCGACAGCGAGTGTTTGGCACCGGCAAACATACAGTATCGATGCCCTTTTGTTTTGGTCATAGAACGAGAAGTGACATTACCAACCGGTGACGTCCTTTTTTGACTGGCAGCAGTCCTGAGTGGAGTCAAAAATATTTGAGTCAGACCAGATTTGAACCAAACCGCAGGTTAAGTTTTAGCTTAGGCCAGTGACCCATGATGCACTGCTAGAGCTCACAGCACCACGTCTGGCGAAGAATGCAGTGCGTATTGAAGGTCGAAGTCGGGCCAGGGACTTATGACGATCGCATGGTGTTTAAAGTGCATGGAATAACATCGCTTAGTCAACAAACCATGACCACCACAGTTTGATTTATATGAAGTTGTGCTACACTTTGGTCCTGCTTGCTTCGACTAAACCTGCTCCATATCACGGAACTGACATGACGCGCACATGCAAACTAAGAGTATGCGTGAAGTTAAAGTAAGAGAGGGTATGTCAGATTTCAGGAGTACTTCAATTCAGAAATTCAGTTCAGGAGCATCAGCCAGTTTTAGCTATTGCTGAAATGTTGAGAAAGATTGGAGAGAGCGGATACCTAGCCCCCCCCCCCCCCCCCCCCCCCCACCACCGTCAGCGCGAGGGAGGGGTGGGAAGAGTCGAATACAAAAGAGCAATACAACCGCAAGAAAGCGGCAGGGTGTTTTACTTGAGCGTTTTCATTGAAAATACAGGAAACTACAAATGTGACTCCATGGTCAAAGTCTGGCTACTGCACCGAAAATTGTAGCACTTTAACTACACCAAAAGCCAATCGACTTGTTCAGCTACCATTCGCCGCGAACATTATAACTGCATGCTGGCATGCATGTCTCGGGTTGTGCTTTCATCCTCTTCATTTGCATGAAATGCACTGACTTTATTCAACACACGATGACCAATGAACATAGAGTGACGAACATTTTCGACATTTTTGCAATACTTGCCCATTGTTGTCGCAATTCCAAAGCCTTTGGAGTCGAGCAGCCCGCCAATCTGAGTGAGGTTGCAGTTCCGGTTCACGATATAATCAATAGTGGTCGACTCGGCAAGGTAAGCATAATTTCCCTGCAGGACTCTGGATATTCCTTCCTCGATCGTCTTTGTGAACACGGACGGCTTTTTGTTTTCCATAAAACGCCACATCTTCTTATATGTGTCGATTTTCGAGTCCTGGAATAAAGGTTTTTACCAAGATCACTATTTTTGTTCGCTTAAGTCTGGTAACGAGCTTATAATCTCGCACTTACCGACAAATTCCTGTAACCGAGCCAAGCAGCAAACAAAAAGTAAACCAGCTGCAAAAACACTCGACTAATATCCCTGCACGACGGAGAGATCCGAAGTTTCTCAAGTGGTAAAAACTGTCTCCTGAAGTCCAACGAATCTGTAAATGATAATGCTGCTGACGCTGTTGATGAATGCCGGTAGTTCAAGGAAGTGGAAACGCGAGACATTTTAGCTAGAAATGGATTGCTGAACTCACTCGGAAGAAGGTCAGCGTGGATCCGCCCTCCAGAGTGCCATAGCTGATGTCACTTTGGTCGGCCAGGTCCTCCGCACTTTCTGCAACAGAACGAGCACACGAGTATCAGCAACACGCTCCCAGAAGTGGTGACCTTCATATATTACGCCATCGCCAAAGTCTACTGAAGTAGGCGTACTACTGCGATCTTAGTTTTAAAGTTGCAACGCTTTTCATAAAAATATTGAAATGCACGAAAGTAGTGACTGTGTGTCAAATACCTCAAATTATCAAATATCTTAATTTATATATCCATCGAGTATTGTCCTAAAGTGTTTGAGGACGCATTCATTTTAGCTTTTCTGGTTTCGTATGTTTATCTTTACTCTCATTTTTAAGCTCGTGGGCCTTAAAAACACATAAGCTTTTATGCTTGTTATCAATAAGTTCAAAACGTCCCTTATTTAGGTAAGACCACTCCAGAAAGCCAAATAAGTACCCACAGTACGGGCACAAGACCCCAAATCCTGTGTCACATCGGCCGTTTGTCACATACGGCGAACATCGGCTGTTTGTCACATCTTGTGAACACATGTTGTGTGTCATATCGGCTTTTACAACGGTGGACAACGGCTTTTACCTATGGGCGTGATCATTCTCTCGACGGTGAGGAAGGCGGCTAGATTGGCTGTGTACGACGAGATGATGATCAGTGTGAAAAACCACCAAATGCCTCCAACGATGCGGGTGGAAATAGCCTGAAAGTAATAATGGTTGATTTTATTTGATTGATACACATCACACAGTTGTTAGTGGTGGACACAGACAGCACGTACTAATCGAATGGTAACCCAGCTTCTTCACAGAGATTGTGTTACTCATAGGGGAAGACAATCGCTTGACGCTCCTCCTTCAGGCGATTGAATGAGGAGCTTGACACTCATCTTTTAAGCGATTGAATGAGGAGCATGACGCCTCTCCTTCAGTCGCTTCGTCCACGTTTGACAAACAATCCACTGCGATGTCTCAAAGCGATTGCTGCCGCATGCTTGCAGACGATTCACACGCAAGCGCAGACGTGGAACATGCTGAAGCAGCGGGAAACATGAACCAACTCGTCACTGGGTACAAGCGGCCACAGCCGGTCCAAAGCAAAACTTTTTACGGCGGTGTTGGTGTTTCAAGTTGTTGTTGGCGGTGTTGTTGTTTTCTCCATTGGTTTCAAGTTGAAAAGTTAATTCGAAGCATTTAAACGCTGCTCGTTCCAGAAAACGCATGAACAACAATGAAAAATATATCCATACCAAACAAGCATGAGGATGGCTTATGAGGCATCTTACAGCCAACACATTCCGTATCGAAGTCGTTCTGATTGAGTGCATTCAGTAATAATAGCCTTGGTGGTGCGTACATCTGACCTTGCTGCTCCGACACCGAAAGATCTGCTTTAAAGAAGCTCATCTCATTGGAGCGATCAGACCCACACGTCCTACAAAACTGATGAATACTCATAGTGGACCCAACTTTTTTTACCCGCCCATCCCCTTATTTGTCTTAATGGCATAGCAACTTAGAGCCACCGAGAACGGGTTTTGGTGTATCCCCTATAAAAGCAGCAGTGGATTGAATTGAATTCGCGGGGTAAAACCTTCATGCCTGCATGTATTTTAGACTAAAAGGAGCGGCTGAAACTTTCGTAGCATATATTACACAAACATGTAAGAAAAGTAGTGTGCTCCCTATAGAACAGAACACCCACGTTGGAAAAAGCAAGGCAAATGAAATGCGTAACTTTCATAGTGGTGAACAGGACGTCAGATGAGATTTCTCCCGCATGTCAGGTGCTTCTAATTAAGATTCTAGGCCGAGCAGAAGGCTTTCGAGAACATTGGTATGACTGATCAAATCGTGAGCGTTTGGTGTCACAAAAACTGAAAGATGCAAAAAGATGTGATATCCCTTTAAGAGGCGCTTGTCAATGAACACGTCCCTACCTCAGTTTGACTTTGAACTCACCGCCAGGCAGCATGATTGCCCATCCTCCGAGAGCAGGGAGCGCCGTTTGCGGAAGGACAGGTGGGAAGCGAGACACACAAAAGCGGAAACATTGGCATGCGTCTGCAACTTCCGACTAGGCGTGGGCGTTTGGAAATGTTTGCTTTTTTAAACAGCGAGGTGAATCGGGACACCGTCTTCATTAATTCGTCCATTTTTTACATTCAACTCCTCATTCATCAGTGTCTAAATCTGCACAATGTGAGCCGAGGTCTGGCAATCACGTTATAACTTACATGGCGATGCGCATACTTAACGTGCGGCTTCGTCAATGTTTGATTGCTTGCCACAGCAAGTGTGTTGGCGCATCATGTAATCAAATTTTCCTTTGGATGGCCCCGTTTGGCCCTTAACTTTTTCCCGGCCTAGTGTTCTGTGCACGAAGAAGGATATCTTGCCCTTATCTGCGATCTATCTTTATTGACTAGTGCATCATATGTTTGCTATTTTATCTATGTTATGCTATCTTATTCATGTTATGTTATCTGCGTTTGTTATTTCCTTTTATCTGCGTGTTTTTCGACCGTATCTACCGCATCGTATGTGCACAGTACTGATCGTTGTCACTCGTCTTCGTTTCATTTGTTGAACATGACTTCACTTTCTTTCCCTTTCTTCTCACCATTCCATGGCACAGTGGGCACAGCGTCCGGATCTGACCAGATGTCTATCAGACTATCTGCGTACTTATTGCATGATTGTTGAAAGGAAAGGGCTAACGTTTTGTACGAAACTTAACGGGACGCGCACTCCTATATATTACACATGTCCAATCCGGATTGCGATGCTAGTTGTTTGAAATCCCTCTTCAGTAGCTAGCACGTATCTTCATGCCTAGGTTGCCCCCCAGTTCAAGTGGCATTCGAGGTTATAACGGGTAATAACACTTTTTGCAAAGCATTTCAATGCATCGGATTACGGTGAGTTACGCTTCGGCACGTGAGATATTCGCCACCGTCCATCAGCAGCGCCAAAGCTTCGACGCAGCACTGCGGCGAATCCACGCGACCGTGCAGACTGATTAGCTAGACGACAGTACACTCATGGTCGCCATCATGCCTGATATGAAATAACGATGTTTACGGCTTTGGCCAGCGTTGTAGGCTTGAGATTTAGTTCTAAAAATTACTTGGTTTATGCTTTTAATTTCATAGCAATATACCTGCTATTTGCTTTGGGCGATCCAGCTGTACTTGCTAGTGCAGACGAGTTCAACCGGGGGGTAATTTCTCCATAGGAAGGATGCGAGGGTCCCAGGGGAATTGCGATATAGTCAAATCGTGAAACCCTCGTATCCTCCCTTTGGAGCATGTCTCCCCTCCGTTGGGTTCATCTGCACTGGCAAGTACAGCTGGATCGTCCAAAGCGAACAGCACATATATTGCTATGAAATTTAAAGCACACATCAAGTAGTTTTTGGGAGGTAACTTCCAGCATACAACGTTGGCTAATGCCGAAAATATCGCAATTTCAAATCAGGCGTGGCGGCAACCATGAGTCTTGCAAAATGACTGTCCAGACAAGACCAGCCAGGTAGTCGCTGACTGGAAAGTGATATTGTCACATTCACCGCCATGTACAACAAGCTGACGAAAATGTCTGCTAAAAAAACCTAGAAAGATTTGTTCCCACAAGTACTGACAGCGACCAGGATGCCGAGAGCTCAATCATATGATTTGGTTCGCGTTGCCTGCACACAGCCGCTTCTCTTCACCTAGCAGGCACTTTTATGATCTTGTTCTCATGAGTGGTGAAGCTATAGGTGATGCTTAATGTGCAGTGCTGTTTAGTTCAGAGGTCCTCATGATTCGATCGATCCTCACGAGGTAATGGACCCAAAATGGTTGCGCGACACTATTCTAGTGCCATGTGCTTCGCTAACCGGCTCACACATTCATTGCAGGACATTTCTATGACGCCTTCTACAAGGTGCATTCCAAAAGAATGTCCTTTTTAGTTGTGGCGAAGGACCTACGGGATATCATACGCGTCCCATCCAGGGCAGACAGGCGACCGGCTCGTCTTTTACCACAACGCTCCGCCTTATCGCGCCGCTGTTGTGACAGAAATTCTGGCTGTCAACGCTGCGCTGCTGAGACGGCCTCCGTACGTTAAGGATCTCGCTCCGAGTGACTCCTGGTTGTCCTCTCGAGTGAAGGATCACCTTTGCAGGTATTATCTCCCATCGCAGTCAGTACTGGGCTCGGCTATATCGCAGTATTGCAAACATGTCTCCATTCAGAGCTTCCGCGAAGCCAAATAGCGCCCTGTACATCGCTGAAAGAACTGCATTGAAAAACAGATAAATTGTTTCGAAAACGAGTCATCGGTAACGCGTGGCATGCGTTGTACACTGACAAACAGAGCTTACTTTTGGAATGCACTAGTACAGGCGGGAACACTCTCTTTAACAGACACGTTGAGGTAACGGTGAAGCGGGTCGCTGTCCGACCATCCCGGTAGCTTTTGCGTACACTGTTTGACAATCTCTTACGCTAGATGCGAGCACTTTGCACGCTTAAAATTAAACCAGCTTCCAACAGGCGTTTGTTTTTCTGTTTTTGTTTTTGTTTTTTGTTTTTGCTCAATTCGATTAACTCGACGACCTCAGCGCATGTTGGGCCAAAACGGGCTCAATGTCGCATATGCCACTCATACAGTCTACCATAGGTATTTATATTTCCCAGGCTTATCAACACTTAGAATAGCACAGTTTGTTGCAATCCATTTGTAATATAACGGTGCTTCATTTTGACTGTACGCCAGTGCAGTCCCGAGGGAGCTGGGAATAGGTGCCGGATCCCCATGTCCGACGACGGCTCTTTTCTGGCACGGAGCCACGTCAGCGCGAGAGGTAAAGTTTAACCAGTGCTTTTGTTCGGATTTGTGGACCGGAAGAAGTCCCGTCACATTTGTGAGAAGTTCCTGCCAACGAACGAGCCAAATGTTACAAATCTTCCCTCTAAAATACCATGCCAGCCGCTCCAGAGGCCTCTGCATTCACGCTCCCTATCAATTCGGCGCCAAGAGGGATTGGCCGTGCGCTAAGCTGACTCTTATCTGTTCGTTGTTCGCTGCCAGCTGATTGTCAAGCCCTATAACGCGTGGACAATTGCTGCTGGTTTAAAAAAGCAACCGCGCTGTTCTCACAGAAAGACCACTCACCGCACACAAGAATGCCAGATAATTACTTTGCCATCTAGAAAAAGGTTCATGTGAAAGGCTTAACGTCCGAACATGTCATCTGATTTGCAAACAAAACATTTGTAACATGTATTCCCACAAGCCATCCGGTATTTTTGTTGTGGCCAGAGCTCCATACATCATGGGGCCAAGGCAGGTTTTCCAAAACGGGATGAACCCCGGTGGATGTCATATTAAGTGTTGAGCCTCTCAGGCAGACGCACTTAAGCCCGCCATGTGACACCTAAGAGACTCCTTGGTGCGTCATTTGACACCTCACAGGTCGTTTCGAATGGTTTTGACACCCCAGTAATGTTTTCCCGCCTTCCATAGTCAGATAATTAAATGTGCGTGGGTTGTGCCGCATCCCATGTAATACGCATGCTACTTCGTGGCAAACGCACGTTGGTCTTTGAGCACCAAAGGTAAACGTACTTGCCAACTACGTTTGAGGACCTTCGGTTAGCTCAAACATTAGCTCAACTACCCGAAATTGGTGGCCTAAGCATCTCATACTACGTCGGCGTCGAAAACTGAACAAGCGCACGATCCGCCCACGTCTCAGCTACACCGATTCAGTTACAAGGCAATGGGTCCAACCAACCGAGGCTCAGAAGTCCTCAAACATTGGCAAGGTCATGCCCCGGACCGCGATCCTCAGCCAGCGCGAAGCATGAGGTGCCGCCATTGCCACACATAGAAGCACCCTGTGAGCCGGCCGTCTCCACTAAGATCTTGGCGGCGCAATAAACTGTGGACGAGAGAGCAGATATGCAAATTGCCCGACAAGACAAACAAGGTGCTTTGGATGCGGGCCGGGCCGCTCTGAGTGCCGCCTCACGCCGGCTAGCCGAGAGCGGGGTGCAACCGTGTGCAACAGCCGCCGCCCGGGCGGACGCGGACAGGGTCGCCGACCTGACCTGACCTGGGTCGACGGCCACGCGAGCCGTTCGGCCCCAGGACCGACCGGCGACCCCGCGCCGGCGCCCGGCGGTGCGCGACACCTCACCTTCGGGTTCAGATCGGAGCCCTGCTGCATGAGCGTGCCGATGGTGAACCAGAAGCTGTTGCTGATGCTGAACTGGTTCTCCATGACGTCGTCCTCGGCCGTGCACGGGTGCGGGTTCTGCCACTCGTACGGGCTCACGCGCGCCACCACGAACATGGTGAGCGAGACGAGCAGGTATGCAGCCAACACGTACAGCCAGATGTGCACGGCCAGTGGGTTCATGAAAGAGAAGAGCCGCGTCTCCTGACTGGTGGGCACCTGCGGGAAAGCCCCGGACAGCGTGTGTCACGCGCAGACGTGTCCCTTGCCGCGGCCAGAGGAAAGGAATCGGGTGGTGAATCTGAGTGATGGCCGGCGAACACACGGGGAGTTCCGGACAGCGACACCTGCCGTGCCAAGGTGTCCTTCCTGTCAGAGTCTGGAGGATCGCACACAGTCGAGTGTTTGCCAAGGACCGAACGACGCGCGTTGCGACCTCATCCATGGAGAGCTTGCTTTCTTTCAAAGTACTTCTGGATAAGAGACGCTGCCCTGTGAAACATCCCGGACAGGCAATCCTAGACCATGTGCTAATCGAGCCACACCCATCGGCTCTCTTGTAGGAGTTCTACGCCGAACACCCCACTCGAGCGTCTAAATGGACGATCTATATAGACACACCCACCAACCAGACCGCGCTGGGGTCCAAGAGTCGTTTTACGACGCACATGTGAGATGCGTCTATCCGCTCTACAGGAGCCCGTTTCCTGTTTACCGTCGCCATCGTGGCGTTTTGAGGGCGCAGTCTACCGGCAGCATTAACCGGTGGAGTGTGTGTGTGGGTGTGGGTGTGTGCCGGCGCGTCAATTTGGCGCTGGCGGCGGGCGGCGCGGCGGCTGGCGGACGTGAGATTGGGGCGATGCCACGGCGGCGGCCCGCCAGCCCAGATGCGATCGGACGGCTAATGCCGCGCGCCCGCCGGGGCACAACTTCTGCTGACGGAGCTCTCCCGGGCCGGAGGTAAACTTCGCCTGGGGCCACGAGGCCTGGCGCCCGCTTTATGCACCGCAGAAGGGTCTAGTCTGGGTGGCGGGCGGAGTGTTTGCCGCCGCCTGTAGACACGTCGAGAAGAAGGGTTGCAAGACAAGAAGTGCATGTCGATCTTGATCACATCAGCAGTGCACGTATCAAAAAGTGACTTCCCGACCGGAACAAAAGGCTGCTGTGGCAACCTATCTGGCAAGAGCAGAGAGCGAGCAGCACTCCCACTTTTGGGATTCCAGTCCATCAGTCCATACCTGACTGCATCCAGAGGATGCACAGGCAGGTTTCCTGTCTTACGATGAATGCTAGTTTTTTATGAATCTTTAGTTTGATTTCAAGGCTGTTCCTGGGGTCATGGGGTCAAGCTTGTTCATGGGTTCCTTGTTCCGAAACCGGGACCAGGTCCCCAAAAATAAATCTTAGGAGCAGGACACATGTCTGATCGCGAGCAGAAACTGACGGCTTTGCCATGTCGGTGATAACTTGTTTTTAGTATTATACAATGCGCATCTGTTCGTTCCGTTCATGTCTCTGTTCTTTCATGCACGTGATATATCGCGCTTGTGCACTACAGGCGTATCGATCGATAACTTAGGATTGCCTCAGAAAATATAACTTATGATATACTGAGGTTTTTACTTCCACGATTATGATATTGTGTTTAGAGCGTGCCCGCCCATTGCAGACCATCTTTAACTTTGGTTGCCTTAAACATTTTGGCTCTGTGTTGGCTTTCATCTCGGACGGACTCTGTCCCATTGGATTTTTCGCCTTGTGTCATCGAGCCAGCCATATGTACAAGACCGATTTTTAAAAACTCTGCCATAAATTTTACCGACACCTGCTAATCTCAACGCCATATTTTGCCGCCGATGGTGTCCTACAAGCAATATTAATCGTATGGTTCCAAAACGACCAGACTTTGTTCTGGGCACTTCAGGAGTCTAATACCAGTGTTGTAATGATTTGTAATAATCGTTGGAAGAACCCCTATTCCCTTCTGTGGGTGCGCTACATACACCGCCATGCAACACGGAGGTCCAACACTCCTACAGGCCCACGTCATCCAAGCTGGCAGGCAGGCGGCATCCTCGTCATCACCAGCGGCAGCAGGAGGGGTACGGCGAGACGAGGAGCAGCGGCGGTGCGCGCGCGCGCGGTCGGCCGGTCACCTGCGGGAACACTCCGGAGCCCTGTCGCAGCAGCGTCCCCGTGACGAACCACATGGTGTTGGACAAGCCGAACTGGTTGACGGGCGGGCGGCGGCGCTGCAGGCGCACCCGCTCGTACGGACTGAGCCGCGCCACCAGGTACAGCAGCAGGGAAACGGCCAGGAAGGCGGCGCCGGCATACAGCCAGACCCGGCTCTCCAGGGGACTGAGGAACACAAACAGCTTCGACTCCTTCGATACCTGCAACGACGGCCGGCTGGTCAGCGGAGACGGCGGTGAGACGGCGGTCAGAGGTCAGGTGAGGCAGAGGGACCACCGCTGGTGGGTGGGTGGGAAATAGCTCACAGACAATACTAACCGTGTCTCCAAACAGTGACAGATCACACCATGCAGATAATAAAGAGTACACGATCACTTCAGCGCCGGATTGCAACACATAGCTAGGTTCACAAAATAAAACTAGGCATTTTTCATGACACGAAGTAAGCTATTTTGAAATCCCTAACGACTGGGATAAATGGCTGAAGCCAAGCTTCTTTCGAGCGTGAAATGATTCTGGGGTCCGAGACGACTAGACACACCAATCATCATCACTATCCAAGTCATTCCTGATTAATTTACCGAACTGTTCGATCTAAAAGAACATCTTGCAGTTTAGGGCTAATACAAATTTGCAACATTTGAACTGCTCCTAAATGCATGCCACAAAAAATGTTAGCCAAGTGTCTTGGTGAATAGTACTAGACCTCCTACGCTCCGTTGCATGAGGCTTAGTACTGAACACAGCGCTTGCGTTCGCCTCTGTTCGTCCCCAGGATGCTGCCTCCGGCCACCTTGGGGTTGTTACTCGTCGGACACCACATGTGCACCTGTCTTGGGGTTCTTTCTTACCCGTTGGACATAACATGCGCACCTCTCTTGTCTGGTAACTTTCCGGTTACTGACAAATGGTGACAACGATATCGCTGTAGATACGTTTTCACCATAGTTATGAGTACATTTGCCAACAGGAAATGACAACGGTAATAGGTACGTACAACTGCAATGTAACTTTCAACTTGTTGCATCTCATGATACCTAACGTTTTAAGGCAAAACAAAATAAAAACAAAACTAACATTGATCTGCCGGCGCTTGTTTACCTACATCCTTAAAGAATGTGCAAATGCATGTTCCTTTTGGTTGTGTGTTCGCTGCAGGCACAACAGACACCAACTGCATCGGTTCAGGCGTGGTAGCTGAATTAAAATAAAAACCAGCTATATCCTGGTGGAGAAGAGCCGGACATTCGCTGTGGGCAAACTATCGCATTATCTCCTCAAATGTGGAGCATTCCCTTTAAACACATGGAGCAGCATCGAATGTTTCACCCAGGGTGCACCCTATACATGAATGCTATTTAAGAGACTATTTGTGCCTTAAAACTGCCGATACATTATGCATCCGTGGTAATGCATTTCGTCGCACAACGCGAGCAAACCTTTCCGTGAAGGCTCTTCGCGGTACTCCACAGCACCATGGTATCTTTTCTAGGTTTCATTGCAACCCGGCGACAAATACATCCTATGAATTTTAACTGGTCGCCCGACTCAGTGGCAGATCGGCGACAAATCAGTGCATTTCCTTCAGCACGGACGGTCGACAGATTTGTCGTTTTTAACAGCCGACCCTCAGTGTCCCGAACTAGACAGTATAAAGTATGAGAAATTTAGACATGGGGATTAATCTGGCCGCGGGGCATTCCTAATCGTTGCGAATCGATTGATATGAGGTGACCGGTGACTTTCAATGCACTGCAGCTTTACATGTGGCATTCGCGTTGTGGTGTCATGAATGCCTGCCTAGTATTTAATTTTTGGCCTCGCTAACTTCGTTGGCGATGCCGCGATTCAGCAACCTGTCCTCAGGCATTGACAATTCGGGGTAAGTCGAAAGGAAAATCCGATCAAGGTAGAAATTCGCCTGTGATTATCCAGACCTTCTTTTTTAAGACAACAAAAAGGCTGTTGACTCACTGTAGCCGGCACAAGTGACCAGCCCTCTTTCATTTGAAAAGAACCCTAGGTTTAATGTTGGGGTTTGATGGCGCTCCTCATGAAGGGAAATGACAGGAGGTGATGATTTTCCTGAAATGCCAATTTGTGTCATTGTTGCTTTTTTCCTGATTGAGAGTGGCTGCCAGTCACATAGATCTTTAAATCAGGGGTATTCGTACTTTCCTATTCAGTTCGAGGGTCCAACCCTCCCCCCCTAAAAGTGCGCTCATTTGGGAGATATCCAAATTTTGGGGGTATATTGCACAACTTTTCACTGCTCCCAAACCTGTCTTCAACAACCATGTCCCTACTTGAAATGCAATTATTTAATAAATGTTTTGGTAACATGTAAACAATCATTCACAGTCCAACATCTTGCTAGCATGAATCTTGGTTGTTAGAAATTTATATGGTAGTCAATGATGTAGGCCATGGGAAGACAATGAAAGTGAGGAGTGGGGGTGTAGCAAATGTAGGTAATCAGGAGGGAGGAGGAGGACATATTTAATTGTCATCTCCCTCTTCACTAAGAGTTTTACTTCAAACAGCGGGAGGTTTGTGCTATCGTTCAACTGTCCTAGAACGTCAGTGAAAGGTCGGCATTTGGTCTGAGAACGATGTTGGCTATTTTCCGATGCTGGCACCCCTAATGTAACAGGAAAGCTCTGAAAGTCATTCACTGCGGTGCTCATGCATATGTAAATTTTCTTTGCCGGTGTTAGCATGGCATGACATGGAAGCAAATATGATGCATAACATTAATGTTTTGTCCTAACATTGAATTGCGAAATTGATGGAAACCTTACCATAATTACTGTACACATTAAGCACAAGTTGGGAAGGCAGACAGCCTTTCCTGTAGGCAGACTACATTGACAGTAGAAATCAATAGTTTGTGTGGTGGTGGCATATTGACAGAAGCGTCAATTTTTTGCATGATTAGGGTGGCGGGGGGGGGGGGGGGCTTAGCAGCCCATGGAGCATGGTCAATAAATAAGCCTCGTAAAATTTTGTTGTTTATTAGTGTTTTCGGGCGCGTCGACTGCACTGGTCATTTTGCGTCCCAGCCTCGTAGAAGATGCTTTTGTGTTAAAGTCAGCTTTTCTCATATATTTTTGCAATTTTCCAGACAGAAATATTGGTTGGGGAGGAATCAGCAATGAAGGGCTCACCCCAACATGGACATTGGGTAGTATCACAGAAATTAATTTGAATTGATACTCCTGCATTATGCCCAACAAACCTCACATGTAAGCTTAGAATTGCGTACTTCTTGCATGCAAAGGGCAACTTCGGCTTGCTGATTGAATTTCTACCAATGTTTCGACGTCGGTAATGAAATGTGCCATTCTGCAAGAGCAGCTCATCTTTTCATGAGGTGAAATGCAGATTTTTAACCCAGAATATAAAGTAAATAAAAAAGTATGACGGCCAACAATTTAACCCTAACCCTGATTCGGCGGTCCGCCGACTGGTGGAGATGGGGGGAGGAAGGATTCCCTGACGTTTGCAACCTAAGAGAGGTAGAGCCTCACAAAAAAGAACAAACGAACGGTGAACTGTCTTTAACGATTGATTTGGTGACTAGTAAGAAGTCTTCTGTTGTTAGTTGGCCCCACTTAGCCAAGCCTAAAGTCAAATTTTTCTGAAAACCAAACCACATCGGCTTTGCACGCTTATATATATATATATATATATATATATATATATATATATATATATATATATATATATATATATATACGAATTAATGCAGTGAAGTGACATGAAACATAATGAGGCGTGTCCCTTGTTTAATTTTCGGTATAATGGCATGTAGTTTTATCCGTTTCGAGCCCACGTTCATAATGTACGGTTTCGTTAACGCAACAGCACCAACCCTCTGCCCGCGGTCCGCAGAATCGTCGCTTTGCGCCCGTCGCACCGGCCGGCCCTGTATCATTTTGCAATGCTCGTAAGGAGACGTCGCTACCCTGAAACCAGAATCGCTCCGGACCCTTTTTGGTGTCAACGCGCGTGCAATGGATGCCCCAGAGGCTACTAAACATTTGAGCGAGACTGAACAAAATGCGGCATTGGCATCCTCAGAAAACTGTAGGGGATGGGGGGTCGTATTGCCCCCCCCCCTTCCTGTCACGGCGAGTATCTTGTTCAGGAAGAACAAGTCGCCTGATATAAAGTAATTAACAAATTTCGATACAATGTACTTGTTGGGGCGCGGCGAAAAGCGCCCACCAGTCAAAACATGTCGCGCCAGGCTTGGGGCATGCCTAAGGTATGGTGGATAGTTTGATGACGGTTGAGATGGGGCTCAAAGCGCATACGTCATTTTCATTAGCAGGCATGACCTAGAAGAGGCCTGCATATTTGACGTCATTCACCGTTCTACTTCCCACTTGTTCAAAATCTACCATGCATGCTGCTGCCCAGGCTATCGAGGCAATTCGCTCTTGTTTTTTTTGCGGTCGAGGAAAGCAAATCCAGCCGTAGATCGAGTTTGATCGTGAGGTCCCGGCAAGCCCCGAGGGTAGAAAAAACCCTCCTGTGCTGGGGTATGTTATAATCTGGGACAGGTGCTCCCTTTTTCCTAACAACGGCACTTGTCCTGACCTTTGCTGAAGGACAGAGTATAATTGAGCGTTTTGGTCGTAAGCAGTATATTGAAAATTGCAGTGATGAAATATACTTTGAGTGATTTTCTGATAATCGATGACGCTTCTGCGCAGGAACTTAATGACCATTTTGTCCTCTAATATTGCGTTACGCTACCGGTGAGCATTTGTCGCCAAAAATTTAATGGGTAACAAAAAGGACACTTTCACCACCCCTGGAAGCAGATAAGGCCTGCGCGACGCGCCCTTCAATCCTGGAACTGTATGGGCGTCGAGGTCTTCACGGTCTGCGTAAATCGCTTTTTTCAAACTACGCGGCTGAGTCTGCCAGTTGGTTACAGGACTTTCCGTTAAGGATGAGTACAATTATGAGCAAATACACAATTTTTAAATACGGTATAAGTGTGGATGCCAACAGAAAAAAACGCTTTTAAAAACGCAAAAAGCGCAGTTCGTTAGTTTGCTATTTGGTAATTTTCAGATAAAAGTTCAGAATCCATGAAAACAAACTTGCGCAACACAAATTGCTGCAATATTTTCAAAGGCCCCACGGGTGATTTTTAACATTTTCGTGCAAACGTCTTTGTAGTAAAAAATCCCAGTGGAACAACCCTCACCCCGCCCCATAAAAACAGCCCACATAAACCGGGAGTCCGATACAAGCACCGTGAGACATTTCCAATGCTCATGAATATCTTCTTCGAATACGATTCTACGTCATCTAGAGTACTGTAATGTGAACTTATGGAAATCGAGACCGCTTAGTGCAAAACGAAAGTGAAGGAAACGGTGGAGTTTAGGCAATAGAAAATTAGGCCAGCCACATCTTCTTCAGCTTTTAACAAAGTAATCATTAATCGCATTGCTGTTGGCTATCCCAATCTATCTATGATCCTAGTATTGACCTAAATCACGTAACGGCAAAACTAATGCGCTTGAAAACAAGAATGCATACATCATTGGAAAGAATTTCCAAAGCTGTAAGAAGTGGGTTCATTCACTATACCAGGAAAGCATTGATCTGACTTGGCCTTAACGTAGCTATGCTACATTAATATACAACCTTATGTCGGCTGTTTTGTAGGGTAGCACTTTATCTTACTCGCATTTGATTATCCACCAGTGGAGGCGTTTATGACTGGTGACGTCTCGAGCTCAGGGATTTATCTCAAGCGTTAGAAAGCAATTTAGGGCATAAATACCTAATCTTCCTTGATAACGACAGACGCATGTTGGAAATGGTAGCATTCATTTTTAGTAAGCTATGGCACCAGGGGTATGGTTTTCTACCTCTAGGACATTGGGTCATACCAAGATGTCTAGTACCAGAAGTGGCATGATATATATATATATATATATATATATATATATATATATATATATCTGAATAAGCGAATCTATGTAACGTTGTTAACTTGTTTAACCAGCACCTCCTAACATGTTGAGGGGCGGTAACGGTCAATGGTAAACTATGAAAAATGTTAAAATCTACGATCGCCAAGCCTTTCTTGGTTATAACAATGCATTTCATGAGAGCGAAGAAGATTTAGATGAGAACATATGAGTAATAACTTCGCTAAGAGGTATACTTAGTGACTCCCGTCATATTCCAGATTTACTTCACCACGCCGTAAGCGAAATCCAAGATATCTTTTTTAAAAAAAAAAAACTCGTTTTATGGGTTCCAACCCGGCGCACGTGTGCTGTGGCAGCTCCTCTGACAAACTTATTTTTGGAATCAACCGCATTTATGTCGTATCCGGAAGCAACTACTTGTAGATAGTCGACCAGTTTGGGGCCGTGTTGCCATTGGAGTAGGCGTTGCTAGTGGTTCTTAATCTTCAAGATCGTTATAAGATTAGCATCTTGAGACACTGGCTTCTTAATCTTCAAGATTGTTATAAGATTAACATCTTGAGATGCTATCTTCGGACCTCGCATAACTACACTGCTATCATTTTTGTTATTCCTGTTTGGCCCTATTGCCACTTCAACTCCCTTTCACAACTGCATGCCTTTCAAGCTGAAGTAGAGCACGCTGTCTGCACAAAGATCGTTCACAAAGCACATTTCTTCCAGTCCAGATTTTGAGGTTCATGGCCGACTACATGGATATGGATTAGGCTTAATATGGCTAAACTTTGAACGACGTGGAAATGTTGACGACCAGCTTAAAATCATGTTAAAAGGGTTTGCATTTTTGACATGAATATGACTGGCGAGACTGAAAGCGCACTCAGGCAAGGGGTCAGTTTGACACCCCGAATATCGTCAAAAATTAGAGCTCAGTGGCGCGGTGTAGTTACGCCGAGCTGTGTGTAGCTATAGGAAATTGATTGCCGATATTACGGTATAAAATCAAATGTACCTCCAAAGGTAGCTGACATATCAGAGGTCAAAGACAGGGCATGGCTGCTAGCGAAGGCAAATTCCTAGGCAATCGTAGAATGTCATGCGACAATGACGTGTTGGACAGTCATATGACTTTGAGATGGTTGGTTAGACAATAAGGCTACTGAAATTGAAATTAAGACATTTATCATCGATCTAGAGTCAGGCTAAAGTTCAGACCAAGACTGAAAAGCGCACATTATTGCTTAAGCCGCTCGTTTTTACCCGAAAGCAGCGCGGGCGATTGCTCCATTGCGGCCGTCAGACGTGCTTGCAGTGTAATCTTACAGGCGGACCTAGATTTATCTTTAAGGAAAAAAGGTCCAGGCGTGAACCACCAGCACTGGAACAACCACCACCACAACCACCACCACCACCAGTTCCTTGTTTTCATGCTTTAATCATCGTATAACAGTGTTTGCCTCGTGTATTTAACCCCGACTCTAAGGTATATTGTGCTGGCAGGATGACTTTCAGCGTTATGTGACATTTTGTTTTGGTTTTGCTTCGTAGGAGAAACGAAAGCTAATCACATTTTACAATTATGGCAAATGTCTCGAGCATTTTATTGACAGAACAAAACTTGCAGAAAAGTTGGCACTTAAATGTTCTTTTTTACCCCAGCTAAAACGAGTGTGAAGTATATTAAACAGCCCATTCGACCGTCCAAGGCCTGTTGGTGTTCCGTCAGTAGAGGGAGCCCGGCCCTCACCCGTTCATGACCAGCGCGACCAGTGGCGAGCGCTGATCTGGCCGTCCCCGCAAGTCTCCGACATTAGACCTTCCATCGGCCTGTAACACACAACACGGCCCTTCGTCGAGCATGCCTATCACGCCGTGTTACCTCGCTACCCCCGCGTCTACCGCCCCACCTTGAACAAGATGGTGATGCCCAGGTTCATGAATGGCTTGGTGAAGTCGATGACACTCTCTCTGGCGTAGTTGATGGACATGGAGCCCACTGCCAGGTCTGCTTTCTGTGGACGTGGCAGCTTTGTACCATACGAGACACACACTCGCAGAGCATGAAGGATGAGTAGCCTTAAGATGTAGTGAACAGACTTGATATTCTACAGTTTGCGCACAGGTTGTAGCGGAGTGTTAACTTGAAAATTATCGTTTTTTTACAACAGTGCTGAGGGTAACGACAGCCTCACGAAACATATTACACGTGGAGCAGCAGGCACGTAGCCACCATTTTCTCCTAACACACAAATTTTGACCGAATTCCTGCGAAGGTCGTTCAGATATAGCATAAACCTCAAGAGGGGAGGGCATGACGTGCCTGGCTTACGTGGCTCCCACGTGAGCGACGCACGCTACAACCAAGTGCAGCACTAACAACATCTAGTGGTGGTGAGGTCAACGAAGCAAACAACTGCTAAATAAACGGCTACGAAAAGCACCGCCCTCAAGTTAAGTCCAATTTGGAGTTGCATGGTTTATTTTGAGTTGACAAAAAACGTCCCACAAAAGCATGACAGCGCAAGATGCCGAGCGGGCGTTCTTTCAACGCATCTCCAACGTGCCTGTCTATGGGTAAAATATTTGATAATCGATGTAAAGGAGAGTAAGCGCATAAGCATTCATGCACTGGGAAAGCTATCACATTCATGTCCACTAGGTGAAAGATTGCCATACATAGGCTGCCACCAACGTTTGGCGTGGAAGCTATGCGGCACAAATACTCGTGCAATGAAAAACGAGCGTTCTTCGTCAGAAGCATTATCATATTCTTACGGTTATCATTGTTACATATGTTACGTTATATTACAATTGTACTGAAAATATGAATGCAGTTGCTCGCAGGCTCGGCAACAAAGCAAAGCGCAAGGCTCATTTTAGTTACCCAACCTGTTCGACGACTTGCACAATGAAACGGTTCGTCAGGCGGCACTGTTAACTCTCGTTTGCCCGATCGCCGGCCCCATTATCCGTTGCTGGCGTAGTTTTAGCAATGCGAGGTTGAAGCACACGACGGCCTAAACTCGAACACATGATCCGTATTTATTTTAGCAGGACCTGGAAGCGAGGCTGCATCGCCAGCTCGCCGAACCATCGCGCCGCACTAGGACCAGCTTCAATACGCACATGCAGCACGTCCTCCGCACGTACGCAGCAGGGGGCGGGATGCAACGAACACCCTGGTTAACCTTAGGTCTTGCGACAGCAGGCATGCCGCGTCTAACAGCCGACAGGTCAATTTCACTCTGAGCAGAGCATCACTAACACCGAACATTCAGCAGCCAGGCCCTGTCTCCCTGTGGGAGGGGGGGGGGGGGGGACGTGCCGCGTCGCCGGCGTCGGCCGCTACCTTGTCTATCAGCTGACGCACGAGGCCGTTCCACTCGCCCGTCTCGGGGTCAGGCAGGCCGTAAATGCCGTCCGGGTTCAGCATGATGGTGTAGTTAAAGCCTACAAAGTTGGCTACGGAGCGCAGCAGGTCAATGCAGAACCCTTCGAAGCGGTCATTGCCGGTGAGGTTGGTCCCCTGGCGAAGCATCACGTACGGACGGTCCTGCAGGACAGGCGACATCAGCGGCTGGTCTGACCTAGGCACAGCCCGGGGCGAGATTAGAAACAGGCCTGACCTCGGCACAGCCCGGGGCGAGGTCAGAAACAGGCCTGACCTCGGCACAGCCCGGGGCGACATCAGCGGCTGGTCTGACCTAGGCACAGCCCGGAGTGAGATCAGAAACAGGCCTGACCTCGGTACAGCCCGGGCCGAGATCAGCGGCCGGTCTGACCTAGGCACAGCCCGGAGCGAGATCAGAAACAGGCCTGACCTCGGCACAGCCCGGGGCGAGGTCAGACACCGACCTGACCTGGGCACAGTCCGGGGCGAGATCAGACACCGGCCCGACCTCGGTACAGCCCGGGGCGAGATCAGACACCGGCCTGTCCTTGGCACAGCCTCGGGCTAGATCAGACACCGGCCTGACCTCGGTACAGCCCAGGGCGAGATCAGCGGCCGACCTGACCTTGGCACAGCCCAGGGCGAGATCAGCGGCCGGGTACAGCCCGGGAGAGATCAGACACCGGCCTGACCTAGGCACAGCCTGGGGCCAGGTCAGAGGCCGATCTGACCTTGGCACAGCCCGGGGCGAGTTCAGACACCAGCCTGACCTCGGCACAGCCCGGGGCGAGATCAGGCACCGGCCTGACCTCGGTACAGCCCGGGGCGAGATCAGACACCGGCCTGACCTCGGCACAGCCCGGGGCGAGATTAGACACCGGCCTGACCTAGGCTCAGCCCGGTGCTGGTCAGAGGCCCGTCAAAGAAGTGACGGAATGACGGATCCCGTCTTCATTGGATCACCCAACACGTTGGAGGAGAGGATGGGCGAGACCAACCAGACACTGCGCCAGAACGAAGGATTGTGACGGCAAAGAGGGACGTGACCAGATTGCAATACCGTCCTCTGCCAAATACTGCCAAAGACGGCAACGTTCGGCGCCGGTCATAAGACAGAAAATGTAGCCTGCTTAGCTGGCGCTGATCGCCTTACTGGTTGTGGATCATCCAACTGCCTACAGGTATGATTATAAATCTAACGTAGGCATGATTCGGGCATTTCATTCACACAATGCGAATACGAAACGTTTATGTTGATACTTCAACCGTGTTATGGTTCCCGCAGATTATGCATTGCTGTTCTGCATACAAATCGGCACAACGTCAGAGCCAGAAGCAAATTTGAACGCCACGCCACCAAACGCAGGGCGGCGTGTCATCCTGACAGCGTCCCACCCAGATTGGCTCGTCGGCTCTCCCAGGGGACGCCCTGATCTCGGACGACTCGGCTCGGCAGGCACCCGCTCCAGATCTTCCTAATCGCGGCTCATCAGGGCAAGAGGTCCGATATCCGCGACCTTTTGTCGCAAAACGCCCGAGCCTTGAGCGGCCTTGCCACCCAGATCACGTACTGTCCCTCTCCCCAGGTCCAACAAATCACGGTTCGCCGCGGGGGCGCGCGACACCCAATCTCGGGCCAGGCTGCAGCGCGCCCGCCTTGTGCACCGCCTGTCTCCCTCCGCCGCCGACCCGAATACGAACGGCGAGACCGTGCCTCTTGCGATAGGCCGCCGCGTGAGCCCCACACAGCCTGGAACCGAAAACAGTACAGAAGAAACTTAACGTGACCAGGCTTTGCTGAAAGAAAGCAGTATTTCCCGAAAGAAGTCCATCTGCGATCGATGCCTACACCTTTGGCTTCTACGACCTCTGCTACGTGCCGCGCCTGCTATTGAGGGAAGCTAAACATGGTGCACTCGAATGATACACGCCATCTGCAGGACTCTGCAGGGTCTGCAGCGCCGCACCGGCGGCGCACACGTACGCCTTTCACCAGCTCGTGAACCATGCCGTCCCACTCGCCCGTCTCCGGATCGCGCGCGCCGTAGCGTCGATCGGGCACCACCTCCATGATGTACGAGAACCCGGCCATGTCGGCGATCAGCTCCAGGAGATCGATACAGAAGCCGTAGAAGCGGGCGTTACCCGTGTAGTTCTTGCCGGGTCGCATCATCACGTACGGCGTGTCCTGGAACCCATGGCGGCGCTGGTGGCCCGCCCGATACCCCTGCTCTTCCACCTCCCTCCCCCCTCTGAGGGGCTGACACCATTCTTCGGTCGGCAGATGTTGCCGCGGTTTGGTCGGCAGACATCTTCTGGCTTGGCCACACCCGCTTGTAGAAGGCCTTGTTTGCCAAGCGCGGCACCGCAAAACACCGTAAAAGCATCAACCTTGATTTGAGTAAGTGGCAAAAAACGCAACTAGGATTTACCGCGACATTTCATAGCACAACTGAGCTGAAACTGAAAATGCGACGTAATTGTGAGTGACATTTTTATATAACTTTGGAGCGAGACCTGGCCAGGCAGAGCAATGACACGAAACGCCACGTGCAAACACGCTGCGAGCCCGACATATCACAGCATTCGAAATAGTAGTGGTCGGTGCGCCAGTGTTCGTCCGTACGACCTCAGGATTACGCTGCCTGGACCTGAGACGTCAACTCTGGTCGTGCCCAGCCACTGGTCGTGGGCATTGCTTTTAGACCGTCAACAAACACCTCTGGTTGTGAGCTTTGATTTGGTCATCGAATGCCCCTGGTCGTGGGCCTTGATTTGAGACTGTCGTCACATGCCTCTGGTCGTGGGAAGTTTGGTGCAATACTGCCTACCTTGTACACCCACAAAGTTACCTCCAAGGTCATAGCGTCTGGGGTGCCAGAAACGAGAAGCACGAGCGTATGCGCATATGCACATTGTTTGCTATCAGGGAGAACGTTTTGTGCACAGACCCATAAGTCTTACATCACCGTTTAAATTGTTGATTATTCTGAAACACTTCCTGTTAGAACACACCTATGCTGTCGGTGCGAAAGTCAACAGCTTCTTTGCAGTAACCCGATGCTGAGATTGAAGCAGATGCAGACTTTATCGGCCTATGTATTACTATGCTGGATTGGGTGGGTGCCACAGAGGGCAGGAAGATACAGGTGGACATCGGACAAATTTGAAATGCTATCTTCACAAGCCACTGCATCAGCCACCAGAAGAAATACGTTCGCATTGCTGGTAATACCAGATAACCTTGCCAGTTGATTAGCCGTTCCTGTCAGGGAGCACAGCTTCAGCACAGCCCACCTGTGAGGTAAAAGAGATTGGACATATCTGCCTGGCACGTCTCGTGGCTCCCGAAGTGCACCGGCGGACGCTCACCAGGTTGGTGGTCACCACCAGCGTGACGTTCAGTGTGCCTGGGTCGTAGAAGGCCTCGTAGTCTGTGATGTTGACGTGACCCGCTGGGGTCCACTCGCCGACCTGCGGCAAGGTCAAACATGCAGCACAGTGAGCAGACTGATGATGGGGCTCTGTCAGCAAAAGAAGTTAGTTAGGCGTTCTCAGGTGAGCATCGCAAGTACAGTTAGTGCAGATGGTAGATCGCACCAGATAGCACAACTCTTCACTACGTCACAGGTCCTGCAGTCGTATTCCTGGCCTAGCTGACCAGCTACGTCGCTGCGTTACTCACTGCGTCACTGCGTCACTACGTTACCCACTACGCCGCTGCGTCACTGCAAGCTACCATTCTGAAAGATGTCTGGAGCGCCTCGCCTCATCGCACCATAGCTGGCCCCAGTCATTGGTGACATGGCCCACACAACGGCTGACACTAAGGCTGCAGTACAGATAAATCAGCAATCTATGTGGAGTCGCCGGGAGGCATCACGCGCCGCCCGCCTTTCCCGTAGTGTTCCGTATGACACTGGTGACGCGCTCACGCAGCTCGCCCCAGGCCGCTTGCTTAGATGTGCCTTCCGACCACTGAGCGACGACCACCATAGCAAATGCGAAGCTCCAGTACTGAATCATAACAAACAACGGAAGCACGTGCGTGGCAGTGCCGGCAATGAACGAGTGGCTTATCGTACTGCGCGAGGCAGACACAGTCTCGCCGTCCTCACAAGGCAGACACAGTCTCGCCATCCTCACAAGGCAGACACAGTCTCGCCATCCTCACAAGGCTGACACAGTCTCTCCGTCCTCACAAGGCAGACACAGTCTCGCCATCCTCACAAGGCAGACACAGTCTCGCCGTCCTCACAAGGCAGACACAGTCTCGCCATTCTCACAAGGCAGACACAGTCTCGCCATCCTCACAAGGCAGACACAGTCTCGCCATCCTCACAAGGCGCAATCCTGGCAACACGCTGAGCCGATTCTCAGAAAGACAACAAGAATGACTTTGTTGGCGCGGCGGTCTTCTCCAAAACAAAAATTGTCCCACGTATCCTTTCAATAGGTACCTCTCGGCATATGTGTGACTGTTAATTATCACTTCTTGCTTAGACATGACATACGCAATATCACGCGAACTTTGTGGAGCAGCCGAAGCTGTCATAACCGCCGTCCCAAAACCAGTCGACATCTCGTCCCCTCTGGCCCAGCCGCCCGTGTGAGGCCGTCTTTGTGGGCTGTGTCATCGAAGACGCGCAGCAGGTCCTATTTCTTGCGGCGGCACCTAAACGCCGCGAGCACAGAGTGACGTACCCGGGGCGAGTTACCAGCCAAAGAGGGCGGCGCCGTCAGATGCGGCATGAGATTGTATGACCTTCAGCAGACCCGACGAAAAGGCATCCTGGTATTTGAAATTTGATCTTTCTCTAAGCCAGCACTCCTCAGTCTGTGGTGTCGTGACCCACGTTTGGGGTTGTTCAGCTTTCGGCTGGGTCGCATGGACGCAAATTACGCTTCTTGCCAGGGTGACGAAGGGCGTGTCAGAAATACGATGAGAAGGCTTAATTTAACTTGTGCGGAGTTCTGAATTGCGGTATTTTATTTAAAACTGACCAGAACAGTGAAGAATACCGACTGCCGTGTGCTAATCGATTGTGAATCTACCAGCTGTTACGGTACGAATAAACTGAAGGTAAGGCATATGAAAATATATCTTTTGCAGTTAAGAAAGCGGCATTTGGCTGCACTTAACCACCGTCCCGTCTGATGTTTGACGGCCTTTAATGTACTATGCACTTTTATGTTGCAAATAATCGATCTTACCTGTACCATGACGTACTGGTAAGACAGGCGCATCAAGCAAACGCTGGTAACAATAATTTCGCCAGGCAAACATCGGAATGTTGGAATCAGATACTACAATTAGGCATATTCTTCGTCGAATGACCAGGAGAACGGTGATATAGATATATTAATGATGAGTCAGACATGCCCATGTCAAAACGATTAAAACGATAATAAGGAGTGTTTGCCTTTGCCAGTCCACATACCTTTGTCAAAAAGATTATTATTAACAATTATCTGCTCATAATTATTTTTTCGCTTTGACAAAGGTATATAGCCGACATATTATATCCATCTTCCCGTTCTCCTGGCCATAGGAAGGACTAAGCTAACAACACTGTCTTATCTATTTGCATAATACTCCTCCCAAATGCATTAACAGCTTAAATATTGGTATCCTTGACGCTATCTAGCACATGTTTTAGTACTCGCGACCACAAGAATCGTCTTAAAATGTCCAATGGTCTTACAACACATCCTAATACTTACTGGATAACGTTGCTTAACCGGTACCTACTAATAGTTTACTAGTTGCCACGGAAAAATCCATAACATATATATATATATATATATATATATATATATAATATATATATTTCAGCAACGCAGAGGCAATGTCGACCGTTTTGCAGGCCACCACCACTACCCCACTTGCATTTGTTCATCTCTATATTGCGTCGCGTACGGCCTCGAACCCTCAGCGCTCGACCCGTCCGCTGCCGGAAGTGGCTGAGGAGCCCGCGGGCGGCCCGTGCTGCTGCACTCCCGCCACATGGCCGCACTGACTGGTAGGTCAAGCAAGCAAATACGAAGTAGGACATGGCGGCATGCCACGTGTTTTAGGCCCGTGGTGGAAAGCTTGAAACTAAGGTGGGAAGTTTTCACCTTGTTGCCTACCTTTTATCCTCGGTTGCCCTGAAATTGAAGTCTGGTCGTGCGAGGGCTTGTACAGATTATTTTAGCTGTACTGCTCCCTGAACCTTTCTTTCAAATACGGCTATTTTTAGCCTGTTCAACGATTTAATTCAGGCAAAATACGAGTTCCTACAAGGCATGCCAGATGTACTGGCTTTGATGAAAAAAAACACAATTCTCACAGATTATTTCCCTGCAGTGTAAATTACGTCATTGCCCGCGCTTTACCGGCCACGCCAGGTAGTATTTCGATAACAGATCACCTTTTCCCAAATTACACTAACGAAACACATGTCACGTGAAGGGACCAAAATCCGAGGAGGAAAATCATTGCAATCAATCATTGCAATCATTGAAAATCATCAAAATCATTGGTAGTGCACATGGCAAGTCGTTTTTTTCGTCCTACGCTACCCACCAACTTAAAGTCGTTCCTGCGCCACTGAAAAAGGTGCACCACCAATTCCAACACTCCATGCCCGTTTTGGATCACCGTTCCCGGCGTTACAGGCTTCAACACCGATGCCACGAAAATGATAACAAGTGATATTACTCAGAGCGTCGATTTTCGTTTCACTTATTCAGTGGTATGACACCTGCTCTCAGCCACGAGTTATGCAATACAGGGGAACCTGAAGTACGGCAGTGGCTGGAAAAAGAAGACTAAGAACAACTGGTTCAAATATTTGACTGTGATCCGTAAAAGGTCGCCTGGATGGGGCAGGAGAATGATACAGATAGCTGACTCTCGCTCCTTTTACCCACTCATTTCCCAAGTCTGGCACGTCTGTCGGCGGCGAAAAGGTCTGAACACTTGTGTGGAGTTGCGTGAAAGACCCGCGTGACGCGGCGTCGATGCAGCTGCGGGCATGGCGTGATGATCTGTATGAGGCGATGGCGACGCATTCGTCGCTACTGCCGCGGTGGGAACAGTGGGCAAACGTCAACACCGGGCCGGTGTGGTGGTGGTCTGCCGTCGCTACTGCATCAGTGTGCGGGTCTGACGTCACTAGAGCATCGGAGTGATGGTCTGGCGTCACTTCAGGACCGAAGTGCTAATCTGACATCACCACCGACAGAAGTAGAAATATCGCGTCACTGTAACACTGCAGTGGTGATCTGACATCACCACGGCACCGGAATGACCGTGTGACGTCATCACATCACCTGGGTGGTGGCCAAACGCTACTACAGGAATCGACCAGTGACAAGACGCCACAATAAAGGGCAGAGCGGCGGCCGAGCGGCACTGCAGGAGGAAAGCAGTGGCCAGACGCCACAATACATGACCAAACGCAAAGACCAGGCGCCACTCTGCAGAACCAGAGCAGCGGCCAGACGTCACTCAACAGGACTAGGGAGGCGGCCAGACGTCCCTATACATGACCAGAGCAGCGGCCAAACGTCACTCCACAGGACCAGAGCGGCGGCCAGACGTCAGAGCGGCCAGTGGACCCACCCACAGGACCAGATTCAGTGAGTGATTCGGCCGGCCTGCCCCCTGCGCCGATGTCGCAGAGCGCCTCAGACCGGTCGTCTATCTGCCTGTAAACAATTGCTTCTCGTTATCGTGCCACGCCGCCCGGGATGCGTCAGTCCGCCTGTGGTGCCGGGAGGCGGCGGCCAACGCTCTCGTCGCTCGTGGTCGCAGCCCCGCCCGCAGCCGCCGTCACCATGGATATTCTCGTGGCGCAGATTCTCGGCATCCTCGTCATCTTCTTGGTCACCACCACCATCGGCGTGCTGCCCGGCGTGCTGATGCGGCGTAACGCCAGTGCGATCAGCGTGGAGTCGCGCGGGTTCCGCACAGTCCTGTCGGTGGCCAACTCGCTGGCCTCGGGCGTCTTTCTGGACCTGTGCTTCCTCGGTCTGATCCCGATGGTGCAGGAACTTTTCAGCAAACTGTGGGTGGAGCTGGAGGTGTCAGTGCACTACCCGGTGGGCGAGGCACTCGTGCTGGTCGGCTTCTTCTTGATTCTGACTGTGGAGAACTTTGCCATCTGGTTGCAGGGGCGCGGCCAGCAAAAGCCAGAGCCTGGTATGCGCGCGCTCAGCATCGAGAACATAGCGGACGTAGTGTCGGAGGCGGCGCCACGGACGACTCTGCCCAAGGGAGACGACCGCGAAGACGGTGGTGAGGCCGGCCGGCCGCTGACGGCACAGACAGGTGGCAAAGAGCCAAACGGTGTTGAGCTCCAGGTGATGGCGGCACCGGAGACGTCGGGGCAGGGTCACAGCCACGGCGCCGTGCTCGCGGCGAACAACTCGGGGCTACGTTTCCTCATGCTGCTGTCGGCCATCAGTCTGCACTCGCTGTTTGAAGGCATGGCCATTGGCCTGCAGGTGTCAATGTCGGTGCTGCTGAACTTGCTGCTGGCCATCCTGATTCACGAGTCGCTGGTCGGTCTGGCCATTGGTGTGAAGATAGCACAGCAGAAGGTCAGCTTCTGGAAGAGCCTGCGCCTCATCTGCGCCTTCACCACCATGATCCCGCTTGGGATCGGACTGGGAATCGCGCTGGGTACGGCGGAAGGCGCAACCGGTTACGCCCTGTCGGGCACGTGCCAGGCGCTGGCCGCCGGCGTCTTCCTGCACGTCACGTTCATGGAGCTGGTGCCGGACGAGCTAGAACACTCGCAGAACGCCTTCGTCAGCATCGCCTGCATGTTCTTGGGCTTCTCGGGCATGTCGCTTATCGTTTACCTCACCGAGTGAAGGAAGACTGCGCTGAACCAAATCTGCGAGCCCGGCATTCCAAGTCGCCTGTGGAGCGGGCGATGTCAGTTTCTACTTCGAATGACTGGTGCTCAGGACGAGGTCACTCAGTTAGGCAGCGCCTCGAGCCGGGACCAACACCACCTGCACTTTCAACAGGGCCATATGCTATCGGCCGTCGAAACATATCTATCTAGAGGAAAGAACCAAAGCAGGCCAAGGCCTGGCACAAGATATCCCCCGCAAACTGGCAGGATATTATACCGGAACCAGCGTGCCTTGAAGAGGAGTCCGTCCCTGAGGGCGGTGGCAATGCCCGCGAGGCTCTCACCATCTGCACCAGATGGCGTTTGACGACAGACAGACAGGCGCTGAACAGTGGGCCCAGTACAGTGTTACGCTCCGAGTTCTTCCAAAGAAGAGTGCGCCCAGTACAGTGTCACGTTCTGAGTTCTTCCAAAGAAGAGTGCGCCCAGTGCGGTGTCACGTTCTGAGTTCTTCCGCAGAAGGCCGTCCACACGCGCGCGTTGCTCACCATAGCAGGTGTGGCCAGATGGGGAGCAATACATGGGTAAGAGGTGTGACAAGTGTGGCTCTGGTCAACTGGTGAAGTTGGAGTGGTGGAAGCACTGGATGGCCAGTTTCATTTGTTTATGTCAAAGGTGGTAGGTGTAACAGCATTGGCCTGAGTGGTGTACTTTTTTAGGGTCATGGGACACCAAACTTTGCGATGTCATTCATATGCTCAGAAACATGTTCTGGGAATGTGTATCTATGCCATTTCCGCTAATAATATTTATCTTTCCTTAATGTCATTCGGTATGATTGTCGCACTCTTGAAATGAACAATCGCGATTCACAATGGTAATCGATAACATATTTGCACTGGAATTGTTGCATCTCACACAAGTTCACGTGAAACGCACTGCAGTGCAATAAACGACAATGCGATACGATTGTCCAGCCCCACGGCGTCTTTGTCTGCGGTAATACAGCCAGCAATTTCGGTCCGATCCCGACTGTTCCCTGACTTTGCCAGTTGGGTAATGCTTGTGGTTGGCCCACAAAATGAAACACTGGCTGGGATGTGCAACCCACCCTTGCCCGGATAATTTCCAGACTGCCCCCGAGCAGCCGGTTGGGTGATCTCGTACGTTCTCCGAGTCGTCTATAGCGAGTTTATCTTAAAGGGAGTATCTCACCTTTTGTGTACTTTTCACGTATTGTTGCACCAGGCACGTACGATTTGATCAGTCATACCAGTTTGTTCGAAATCCGTCTGAATAGCCCAGAATTTTCATGTGAAGCAGCCGACTCTGGGAGAGAAATCATATCTCACTCCCTGCTCACCACTATAAAAGTAATACATTTCATTTCTGTCACTTTCTGATGTTGCAAATGGTGCGTCTCTAGACTGTCCCGTGCTTGCGGATCTTCCACGCGTCCTTTCCACAAAACCCTTCACGTGGACGGTCCCTTGGAGCGCGTCAGCGAGGTGGCTCATATTGACATCATAGAGGCCGCTATGAGCAACAGTTTTCGTGAAACATAGATCAGTGCAATCGCCACCAACGCGCTGCTGTCGCCGTGCTCCGGTGCTCCATCATGTCGTTTCGGTTTCTTCTTCCACCGCGAGTGTATGCAACGAGCAATGCTGCACTGCAATGGCACAGCCGTTTCACGCGCCTAAAGCGTTTCAGCCAGTGCAGCCAGGCAGTGCACGAAGCCGCTGGCGAGCCCGCTCAAAGGGAGCTCCATCACTGGAAATATGACCCTAATTGAGCACTTCCCGACTCGCGTTCGTCCGACTGGCGCTGCGAGCTGGCGGGAGCCCGCCAGGCCCATCCACAGCCCGACAATAAACTGTCACGGGCGCTACACGGTAGCCAACACGACTGAATCAGCGGACATCAGCAAGACAACGCCAACAAGCACCAGCTTTCAATCACTGGCTCATCACAGTGCCTCCAATATAATGACCGTAAAAAACAACGTAGTGTTAAGTTAATGACCAAAACTTTTTATTACTTCACGTAAGTTGTGAACTGCATTTGCTAGGAGCATTATGCATATAGATGAGGCGGTAATAATAGTCTTCTTCCCGGTAGAATTAACATGAGAATGGAAGGAAAGATGTGATATTTCGGCTCCATGCCTATATCAAAACAAATGTGGGTAGCAAATTCAAAATTTTCTGCCGATCTTACTAGATTTTAAGTTTTTTTTAACAACAAGCCGCAGCTTTTACAGAGCACTAACCATCAAGAATTCAACAAGGAGCAGTTGCTAGCAATTTACATGATGCAGGGCACATCTATCTACGTATTAAATTACCATAAAAATACGTCTATGTGCAACCGAGCTCAAGTTTATAGACATCGTGCATAACACACTCACACATGTAAGCGATTTCATTAAAATAACTTAAAGTAAACAGGCATCACTCATCATGCATCACCTATACATGCAAATGATTTCAATTAAACAGGCATCACGCATCACGCGTCAGGCATCACTCATGCATGAACACGATTTTAAGCTCGCGCGCACCCCACATCAAGGCACTAATCACATTTACACAATTGGTCACACCGAGCCCTGTGTGTTAAGTCTGGTTGCCGACTTCTTATAAAATTAATCTAGCGAAAAGTGAATATTATTAGTATCTGATATAGTATCAAGATTAAGTTAATCTATTAATATCTTAAAAGATTCGCTTATTTTCCTATCTGAATGGTCCTGTGCTCTGTAGATGACTTTGAACTCTAAAAGTGGTTAAGTGTCCATATCTCCCTGAACTTCAGCCTGAGCGTGCTATGTCAAAAAAGGCCATCAAGGAGGCATTCGCTCTTAAGTTTAAAACATCTGAGATGTGTTCATTGTGTCTAAAATAATGGGGTGCATGGACTCCCCGACATAAACTATGTCCCTCCCACGTCTGTTTACATAGTTTGCCCTGAACTTCATAAACCAGGCTTATGCTTTCAAACCCCTTGAAACTCAGACTCGCGTAATGACATCTATTGCCGTCCGGGTGCTTAGGATTCGAGATAAAATATTTTACCAGAGACATTTTTAACTTATCGTCGGTCGGTCGTCCTGCACTGAAATCAGGTGTTCATGCTTGCCATATCGCACTGCCTACCTATGCTCCCGACATCACAATGGTATCCACACGTGAAACGAAGTTCGGCACCGTAAGGCCCATCGTGTACGGCACACGGCCAAATATTACGTAAGTTGTGGAGTGCACTTGCGAGGAACAATATTCGCATAAATAAGACAGTAGTAATAACCTTAGTTCTCGGAGAAAAGCTGGAGAATGCAGATAAAGATGCGTTGATAGTTTGGCAACATGCCTTCATCGAAATGAATAGCGGAAGTTATATATATACATATATATATATATATTGAGAGAGAGAGAGAGAGAGAGAGAGAGAGAGAGATATATATATATATATATATATATATATATATATATATATATATATATATGAAAATAGCAATCCGTCTTACTTCAATTAGTTGTGCTTCATTTATGTTCTCCGTACTAAAAGATGTTTTCCAACAGTACTGCACAATTTTTTCATCCTTTAAAACTCAAAACTTATTTCTTGTGCAATTTAGTCTTCTCCGAAGATGAGATAAGATCTCGAAACGTTAGAATGGAAGGAGTGATGAATATATGAGTAATTTTGTACGAACCATCTTTAATCTAAGCGATGACGCAAAGTCAAAGGCCCGGAAGCTAGAACGATGCATCAAAAAGCTCGTTAATGCTGAGTCAGCAGTTATTTTTAATCAAACATGTATCCAAGAAAGAATTCTGCCAAAATATTCCAATATATATATATATATATATATATATATATATATATATATATAGTTAATGCTGAGTCAGCAGTTATTTTTAATCAAACATGTATCCAGGAAATAATTCTGCCAAAATATTCCAATATATTATATATATATATATATATATATATATATATAAGCATATTATATAATCGCAGAATCGTCTGCTTTCCATAAAGGTGTGCTGCTGAAATATCAACGCATTATATCCCCATTCTCTTGGTTTTTCTCCGAGGACTAAGGCTATTACTGCTGTCTTATTTACGTCAAATATGGTCATGTACGCTGTGCATGCTTATAAGCATAAATTGCAGTACACTGATGACATATTTTCCGTGCAAAAGATGGGAGTGCTGGGAGTAATGGAATGGGTACTCGGTATTTGCATGGGTTTGTGATCTGAAATAGCATTTATGAAGATAATTCAGCACAGTTCACGGCCTTGTCATTTCAAAACTTAAAACCCTTTGGATTTTGAGCTTGATGTCAGCAAACTTAAGCAGACTATTTCGTGCAGACTATTTCAAGGTCACCCAGAAATGCATGCCATCCTAGATACGCCAAGCAAATATTGCTACCTCATGTTATATAACCGTAGCGCAAGCCAAGCCAAACTGTCAGCCCATTGGTCATGTAATGGTTATGGCCCGAAGCATATGATAAACGATTTATTCGCATCTGGCGTGCGTCAGCACTATTCTGTCACCAACGAATTTCAACCGTCTCTCAACCGGTATAATGCGTTGAGTGCAAGTTTTGGGCACGCATCACGTTTTGGCTACGCTACACAGGAAGATGGACAATGGCACGAGTTATGACTGCAATAGGCCCAGGAATAAAAAAAATAGGAATAACGTCATAGGGAAGGATGCGAACGCTACCAAATGATACAGAATCACCGGCAAATATGCAAGAAGACACGAGATACGGCGAAAACACGCGCGCATAACGATATTTGTGCTGATACAACACACCGATTAGCACGACACCCCTCGGCAATTTAAAGTACGACAAGAAAGTTAGCCCGTCCGCTACGGTGGCAATGTCACACGGCCAGTTTGGCGGCCACTCTGACGTCATACAAACGTTCCATGACTTAGTAAAACGACGACGTATTGGATAGCATTTTTACTAAGTTGCGACACTGTGTTGTCTAGAGCAGTCTTCTGCACTTAAAAGCTCACCAATACTTACAAGTGAGCCAATTTTATCATATTCCATACTTGCATTAATGTGTTCACAGGTGGAACATGCTGTTCAAGTAACAGTACGCATCGAATATATAATGAACAAAATCGATTACATGTATACAAATGGGTGTTTAAACCCCATTCACAAGTGATTAGTTCAAGCACCGAGCAGCAATCGTTTCAGAGGTGGGTCCGAATTCACGATATCCCTGCTAGCGATCACGATTTCCCCGAGTCAGTACCAGCGACAGTACCTTGACCAGAGCGTGCTGCTTCAGCTTGAGCAAGTCCAGCTTGAAGGTAGTCCTCTTGCCCTCGCTGAACTGGATGGGGCCGGTGAGACCGCGCAGTTCCCGTACCTGCGGCAGCCGGCCCAGATCAGCCGCCGACCGCCTGAGGGCCTCCCCGCACATGCCAGCCGCAGCGCACGCTGTTTGCCCCGAGGCTAATCTGGAGGTCTGAGTGGCGGCGGCCGGACCACTCCACTGGTCCCGTGACCGGGGCTGGTCCACTCCAGTCCGCTGGCGGCCGCGGGCAGCAGCCGGTGGCGTTTGGCCCGGTCACCTCGGCCGAAGACCGGAGAGACGCGTCCGGAGTGCCGCAGGTCACCAGGTTATGCGGTCGACTTAGCGGTCATCTGTACCGAACCGCAAGCACACTGTGTATGGGATCAGCATGGGACGCGTATCAGTTGCTTGGACGTGCGAGTTCTTCGGAATCAATATCATCAGCAGCGGACTACGTCTGCTGCAGCCGAGCGCCAGTGATCAGCCAGCGGCTTCGCCGCCCTGTTATTGCTCAGCGGAGCTGACCTCGGCGTCAACGCGATCTCCCGGCTACTGCAACAGCATTCACCGGCTACTGCCACAGCATTCTCCGGCTACTGCCACAGTATTCACCGGCTACTGCCACAGCATTCACTGGCTACTGCCACAGCATTTTCCGGCTACTGCCACTATTCACCGGCTACTGGCACAGCATTCACTGGCCACCGCCACAGCATTCACTGGCTACTGCCACAGCATTCACTGGCCACCGCCACAGCATTCACTGGCTACTGCCACAGCATTCACAAGACGGCGCGCCGCCACTGCTGCCCAGGCGCCCCGTCCAGACAATGATCATCCGGACAGCAGTCAAGGCCGCGGTGGCGACTTCTCTATTGACGACGAACCCGGCGAACTATTGGTTGTTACCATAGCGGCGCCGGTTGTCGCGATGGGTGCCACAGAGCTCGCTATATGTGATGTATGTGGCTCACCACATGAGCCGCTTAATCTGTATACTATTCGATCCGGGAGGGTTTTGCTACTAGCAGACCCATGGAGGCTTACTGTACATTTGTTAGTGGTGGTCTAGATTGGGTCCAATGCCTTTTAAGTGCAGCATTGTTGAATAACACATGCTGAAACTGGGATCGCTCAATGAGGTGCTAATCCAACGATGTTCTTCATTCGCAGTGCGAAATAGCACTCAGCTGGCTCCTGGGTTTGCAATAGCGCAGTGATTTATACGCACATCTGGTAAGCCAGAAGCATGAAGTTCGATTGCGGCGGTGTCCGCCCCTAATACCGGAGTAAGACAGGCGACGGTGGTGCAATATTCTGTAGTGCAGCAGTGTAGTGCAGTGTAGCGTAGGGCATTCATATGCAGCAGTCTGGGCTGCTGAGTGCGTTGTTAAACCTCAAGGACAACAGTTCGGGTAATCCTGGGACCAGAACTAGGACGCGTGTGGTACCCGTATTGCGTACGGTCCTCCTGCATCATCGGTCTTTTCTGGTGCTTATCTACGCACGACAGAGCCGAAGCTGCCCAGGGTGATTTGACTCCCATTGAAGCGCTCGCTAATGTTTAGACTTTGACCCAGAAACCTTTGATAATACCAGCACTTGTAAGATATCACTGGTCAAACATGGCAATCGATCCGTAATCCCACCATCTGACCATCCCCATGAGCCCGAACTGTCGCAGGCCGTCGGGCTGGGCCGCCCGCGTACACTGAACGGCCGGCGGCGCTGGCGGTCACGCACTCCCACCCTACCCCCGGACGCGTCCTCACCGCGTTGATGTAGTTGAAGAGACTGCTGCCGTCGGGCCAGGGCTGCTCGCGGCCGCAGGAGACGCTGCTGTACTCGAGGGGAGCGCCGCCCTGTAGCGCCGTCAGCGCGCGAGCAAACACCAGCACCGAGTCGAACATGAGCGCCGGCTGGGCCTGCGACGCGCGCCCAGAGTCCTGTCATTCACAGGCAGCAGGGGACCAGCGGACCGGGGTACAAGTACCGTCAACGGTACACACGAGGCACACGGAACCGGGGGACAGGTACCGTCAACGGGACACACGGGACACACGGGACACACGGGACCGGGGGACAGGTACCGTCAACGGGACACACGGGACACACGGTACACACGGGACCGGGGGACAGGTACCGTCAACGGGACACACGGGACACACGGTACACACGGGACCGGGGGACAGGTACCGTCAACGGGACACACGGGACACACGGGATACACGGGACCGGGGGACAGGTACCGTCAACGGGACACACGGGACACACGGGACACACGGGACCGGGGGACAGGTACCGTCAACGGGACACACGGGACACACGGTACACACGGGACCGGGGGACAGGTACCGTCAACGGGACACACGGGACACACGGGACACACGGGACCGGGGGACAGGTACCGTCGACAGTACAGTGCTCAAACAATGTAGGGATGCCATCTCGTGTGGGACTTTATCGCTGAGGCAGGAAAGCAGCACCCGGTTCTAACGCGTACCAGACCGCTGGTCAATGCACACTAAAACACAATGATTGTGTTTTACAGCTGAGGGCGGACTGAGCCAGTCTCGCCGTTCCGTTAGCTGATAACGTGCGGTAGCACTATACACTCAGATTTATCATCCTTGAAATGCGTTTAAAAAACGTGCGTGAGGTACGTCAGCAGCTCGAGACCATGCAATCCGTGGCACCGAGCACACCCGACGAGGCTCGGTCAGGGAATAGACCACGAGCGCAGGTAATCCACGGATCAGAAATTCGGTAGCATCCTGTAACGGCGAACTTTCATCCCACTACATCAAGCTGTGCTTGTAGCGCTTAGTTTGTTATGAGAATCGCGGTCCTGTCAGAAGCCTACCCGATCACAACATGATCTAAGAGATGGTCCGAGAGTTGCTCCCTGTCTCCGCCCAGAGAACGCCGCGTCCATCACAACCGTTGGCTCTCCCCCCAGGCCCCCTCCCCCCGCCCCCGGATCGTCTATTATGTAATGCGGCGGGACCAGAACGACCCGGAATCAATGGGACGGCAGGACGATAGCCAACGTCAATACGTGGTGTTTGATATGGCTGTCCGAAGGCAAACACGACAGGGGCATGACATCCCGCAGAGGTGACGACCAGCGCGTGGGAGCGCGGCCCCGTCGATCACCGAACGGACGTCTGCATCCAGCCGTCAGCGCCGACATGCACAACAGGGGACAGCACTGGGCTGGCACGGCGCCGGTGTCCTCAGGGGGTCTGATCCGCTGCACTGAGAGCTCGCGGCAGGACTGGGCTGGCACGGCGCTGGTGTCCTCAAGGGCTCTGATCCGTTGCACCGGGAGCTTGCGACAAGACTGGGCTGACACAGCGCGGTGTGCTCAGTTAGAAAGGAGAAAGAGTGAGAAAGGTCAGTGAGCGAAAGTGAGAAAGGTCACACTGAAGGGGTCTAAAAAAGAAAATCTAAGGATTTCTATGTTTTTAGAACATTTTGCCAGCCATTTAGCGTGAACGTGAGTGATTCAGTTCCAACAATGTGTCGTGTTTTTGCATACCTCAATGACGCCCGATTTGGAGATGATGCTGTGGCCGACAGGTTGAAACTGTTCCATCTGGCGCAGGATCTCGCGAACGTGAAACGAGTCGGACACCAGCCGGAACGCCGTCATGTTCACGAAGTTGTACTTGAAGTCCTCCAGGTCAAACGTCTCGATATCCTGCAGGCATCGAAACCATTGGGAGACTATTTCAAGATCAGCCAAGCATGTGTGACGCTATGATAACGCCGTTCAAAACTGTTGGCCATGCGGCGATCAAGGCCAATACAAATGATCAATGTCAAGTCGTTCATATCTGGCGTTCGTGAGCACGAGTTGTGGATACAACGGCTGTCAGTTGACTCTTAATCAATGTTGTGCGTGACACGGGGACGTAATCGAACAATGACATACTGAGGAGCACCTTTACCAAATAGAAAAATTGGGTTGCATAGGGGAATCTTTTTCACTTGGAAGCACACGAACAGCTATGGTGTGCTTTCATCGTATCTGATGCTTACTTCACTATCTCTGAATATGAAACATAATCCTCTCAGGCTGCCCAACACAGCACACTTTTTGTTGCGTAGCGTTGGGATGCGATGGGAAGCAGAGAGGAACTAAAAGTAGCATAACGTAACCAATTCAATTCCCAACGCGCAAGAACCACAGGGAAAGGACGGAATGCCGGTTCTTGGTGGACAAAACTTGTGATTATATATAAAGATACTATGTATGTATACATATATTTACATCTAAACATATCTATATTTATATGCATACATACTGTAGGTATAGGTACTAATATCTTATCTGATAATAACTTTGAGAAGAAAGCAGGGGCGTGCGTATGCAGCTTATCAGGAGCACACGTGCCTCTCCGTACGAAATTTATGGCATGTATGAACACGCGACCGGTTGGTTGGTTGGGTGCCCTTCGCTCGGGTGGAGCGGGGTCATTTTGAACCCGCCTGAGATCTCGAGAACTAAGAAAGCTAGAGACACCAAATTCATAGAATGTTTTGACCTGTACATGAGGTATATCAGGTCAAAGATTGAGGTTTCTAGGTCCTAACCTTCGGGTCAAATAAGATCAAACAAGGTTAGATTCAAGATTGGTATCCAAAGAGCCCATAGAACATAGGTAATTGTTCTAAACAAAACGCCACACACTAAATTAAGGTCAGTGACCTTGTTTGAACTTTAAGCATGCACCCGGGTGGCCGGTTGGATACCCTTCGCTCGGGTGGAGGGGGTCAGTTTGACCCCCTCCACTGAGATCTCGGGAACTAAGAGAGCTAGAAACACCAAATTCGCAGGGTGTTTTAACCTTTACGTGAACTCACTTAGGTTGAAGTTTTAAGTTCATAGGTCATGACCTTCAGGTCAGATGAGGTAAAACAGGGTCAAATTCCAGATTGGTCTCCAAAGGGCCCCAGAACCTAGGCAACTGTTCTAAGCAAAATTTCATACGCTCAGTTGGGTCAGTGACCTTGTTTGACCTTTCAAAAGTCATACTGACCAAAATGATGCAAGACCCTTTTGAGTTTTGCATTTCGTTAAGCGACAAAGATTACGCTAGACAGTATGTTCCTAAAAACAAAATGTTGACCAAGGTCACTTTAGGTAAGTGACCTATTTTGACATATGAGAAGTTCATGGAAGGTGTATAACGCGGTTCCTGCTATCAATATATTCAAAGTGAGCACCAGAAATCATCCCAAACAGCAAGCCTGAAAGTAATAGAACAGGTTGGTTTTAACCTTGGTCTGGCCTTCATGCCTGACCCTAGGTCAATGTTATTTATTAATTCAATTGTTGCGTTGCCTAAGAAAGTATCTCAGAAATGTCTGGTTTCGTCTAACACTCCGTTGTCTGACTGGGTTGAATGATTCCTTAGAACGTGTCTTCGCTGAAACCATGGCCTGGTTTTGACCTGCCATAGGTTAGCGGCCTTGCAAAGTACATTTAATTCATTGATGTCATACGATACGCAATTAAATTTTCTACAGCTATGCGGACTTCGGTGAGTGTACGCCGCGCCGTTCTGCAATCATTCCGGGAGAACTATCGGGGGCCAATTTGGCCCACACCTGAGCGCGTGTTAATACGTACGTAGTCAAATGCTGACAGCTACAAATTCCAGGGAAACGCGTAAAAGTACTCTGAACTTGTGACTCACAATCCATTGCAACACGTTGAACCAATTCAGCGTTGCATAATCGCATGCGATTATGCTTCGACAGCGTGATTCGCTTCCTTAGAGCCCCTCATTAGAAGTTATGACAGCAATCCAACCTATTCTACAGCCGTTATGTAATATTCCGAGCACAATAACGACAGTGACCTTTGCCTATATCGCCTGAAGTCCGTGGCCATCCAGGTTTTGCCGAGCGGGGTGCAGGTCACCGAGGACACAAACCACACGTGTCCAAAGGCAATGACATGACATCTTCGGAACTTGTCTTAACGGCTGAAACGAGCTTCGTTTGTTTATCATAAAAATACCACCGACATGCACGAAACCTAGCTGCAGGTGACAGATGAGTGTCACCTGTAGCTGGTGACACTTATATGTCACTGACATGTGACACTCATGTGTCACCAGCTATCCCGGGGGGGGGGGGGGTGGGGCGGCTCAGGAGGACATGCCACCCAGTTTTCCCGAAGTGGGCTTTGGCCCCTTCAATTTTACCCGTCGCACCCACATTTTTCATATTTTCACATTTAAGATGCCTCTCTTAAATCAGATTACCCACACATTTCATTCCACCCGGAGGTTGTTTTCAGTCTGACCAGTGCAATCCAGGTTTGACTCACCCACCTCTAAAACGTGGTTACCCCCACGACGGATGATGTCAGTCAAACAAAACACGTTGTCATTGTAGGCATGCATATGATCTAATAGGTGAGACTGCCAGGTGAATCTAACTAGGCAGTGTAAAACATCCCAAAATGTAAAATATTATACTTCGAAATGTGCAAGAGCATATTGGCATGCTGGTGAGCAGCAGGGTATTTTGAATTCACTGCACCCACAGAGCCAGACAGCCCATCACATATATTCAATTCATAGTACATTAAGGAGTTTACACAAGTACACAAGTACCTAAAGGAGATCACAGTTGCGTGTAAAATTTGTAGATTCGTTTTCTCTCAAAAATCTTCATTCGACATCTTACCTTCAAAGAGCCATAACACAGTGATCGTTCGAGATATGACCTTCGTACGCAAGCTTGCGGCAGGTGTCTTCATATATATATATATATATATATATATATATATATATATATATATATATATATATATATATTATGGCTTCGAATGAAATACGACAAGTTTCGAAGATGCTTGCAGCATTCATTATTTAATGCTCGAGCCTGGAGGTGATAAGTCAGGACGTGCTGAAAATGTTGAGCCAATGTCATCCCCACCAGATTTTTGTAATTCACAGAAACTATCTAGGGGCGGTAAACCGTTCGGCAATCAGTCAATGGCCGATTAGTGGTCTAAGGACCGATATCCAGCAACGCATTCTCTCAGATTGTGCGGAGCCGCCTGGCGCCGGGCCGTGTTGGCGACGTGCTGGTGCTCGTCCACCCTCATCCTTCTGACGGGCTGGCCGGTACGCACCCTTCCTCGACCTGGCATGGTGGTCGAGGTCCAGTCGGCGATGCTGGTAGGCTGGACGCTGATCTAAATGCCGGTCCTCCACCCGCAGGGAGGAATGCACCGGAATTATGGAGCGCCAATAACTTGCCTGCACCACGATTCCCATCGGGACCCCCAGAACTTCATCTTATTACTGTGTATGTTAATTATGGATATCTTAATTAAACGTTCTGACTAGGGACGTGACCTTCATGGCTTTGATCGCGCGTTCAGGATTCCGAAATGACCGAAGTATTTTCTGAGGCTAGACAGCCTTTTCGTCGCGCTTAACAACAGCCGTAATCGAGCTCACGGTTCTAAGTATCGCGCCCACTAATTCAAAACCCAAAGGACTGCATCCGTGGTTGCTGTGCCTGCCAGCAAGTTGAGAGCTTTTCTGGAAATGTCTCGACGAGGTATTTCGTTCCAGACAGACCGTTTTCGCCGTCGTCCAAACATTCGTTTTGACCATTTGAGATACGCCCAACGGGCGGGGGATCGTATAGCGCCGCTGGTGCGCCGCCTCCAAATCGCATCCTTCCCACCCGTCGGGCGTCGGAGGAGGGAGAGGGGGGGGGGGGGGAGAGCAGCAGCGTGATTAGCTGGTGGCATCGCTCGTCGTCCCGGCTGCTGGCGGCAGGGTGGCACGCGTGGTCGTGATGGCTACGTGACGCAGCGGTCCGTGAGAGGGCCCGACGCGGCGCGGCGCGCCAGCGCTAATATCCGGCGTGGGATCGGTCGGCCCCCTCGGCCGGGCCGGCGGCCGCCCGGCTGTGATTCTCACACAGCGCCGGCGGTGGCGCCGGCCGCGCCCGCATCGCCCGAGAGGCGCTGTAAATAATGGCGCGGGGGCGGCGATGATAGCGTGGAAGGCGCCGCGAGGAGTCTGATGATCATCAGCTGTGCCTACAATGGCCGGCTACTGCTGAACGCACGTGCTGTTTTGTCTTCAGTGGTCACATGCATAAAAAACATTCCGAAGCCGGCCAAGTCTTTCGGGCCTTTCTTTAGTACTGCAAGAATTTTATTGTCTAATGATCTCGTTATGATGCTTAGGTGTTACATTATAAAGGGCTATAAGTTGAAGCTTGCGCACGATGCATGAAATACGTTTCTGACCCCGCACTCAGCTGACGAGGCGTGTCCTGCTGTGTTGACAATTAATTTTGCGTGACTTCTTCCCATATTTTGTATTTTTGCTTCCCACCACCCTGGCGTGTCTTAAATATGTCGTGCATTTAACACGACATACATTTTGACTCGTGTGCATCGTTGTGAGTGAGGACAAACACAATTTCGCCCAGTTTGGCATCTGAAGAGGACCAGTGCCGCGTGCATTAACAGTCACACACGACTGACCTTACTTCAAAGCAAGGTCACCTGAGTCGCGTCAGTCCGTGAGAGCGGGCGGGCCCCCATCGACCGTGCCTTGAACCCCGAGCACGGGGCAATACAGTCGTGTTTGCGATGCCAGCCCGCTACGGGTTTGGATTGCTCTTTCCGCGTGACCTGGGCCGGCCATGCTCCACGTGATCGGCAGTGTAGTCGACGGTGGTAAACGCTCGCTGGTCTGTCTCGGCCTGAGAGGGCACCAGGCTGACGCCGCAGTCGGCACCTCTCAATACTCGCGTCATCACGCTGACGTCACACTGTGCTCGTCAGTGCTGTAGTGGTTAAGCCGCTCGCCTGGGAAATCAGAGGCACAGGGTTCGATTCCCCGCGGCGCCCGACCTTCTTGCCAGGGTGAGAGGCAGGCGACGCCAAATAGCCTCAGCAGCTGAGTGTGCCGTAAAGCACTAATGACCACCACCAGAACGGCGCCGTTGCATCGATGCTTGCTCCGGCGTCTGTGACTCAGTCCGCGTCTGACGCCAGATGCCGAGCCGCCGGGCTGTGGCATTACGTTGCAGACGTTAAACCCACATACTGCGCTTCACACGAGCCTCGGCGCTTCGCAGCCCAAAAATTCGTCGATAGATCAAGTTTTAGGGTTGTCGCAATCTTGTCAGTTCAAGAGGGCCTCTATTGGGCCATATGCTCTGAGGTGTAATTACCGAGGGGTAAGTAGGTGCATCCCAGGTTCCCACATGCGGCCCGAGCTTAATTCCCGGTTTTCCCTTAGACCATGGGCGTTAAGAAAGCCACTGCATTCTCTGGCGCTTCAAAACATTGTGCGCGATGACCTGTATGGTGTTCCTAACCAAGTCGACATCCTTCACCCAGTGAAAACCGTCTCATCTATAGCATGAAGATTAATGGAAAAGCATGGACCAGTGCCGCCGGTGTTTTTTTACATTTAATATTCATTTTTCAATGTTAAGAAACACATGCCTCATTTCACAATTGCTAAGAGAACACGCGTTTCGCTATTCAAAATGTTCACGCTCAAAACGCCACCCGATGGTTTACTTTCTAGTATGGCTATTGATCAACTACCGATCGGCAAGAAAGTATCATATAACACACCAGTAAGCGAATAAAAGTCCGTGAGTTGGATGGCATGTTGAAGGTCGCATTCAACGACCGTCAACAAACTATATTTTTTTTTGCTGCATGCCCACGCCTGGTATATGACTTTCTTTAGAAACGGACAAATGAAGGTAAGCAACGTGGTCATTTCAGAGGGGGGGGGGGGAGGAAAGCAAAAATATAGGTCGTGAAGGGACTTTCCCATAAGCATCACAGAGTGTGTTTACCTTCGTCAAATATAATCACATTCGCGTGGCTGTAACAATCAAGGCAAAATAGTAAACCAAAGCATAATACTTGCCAAGTCTCTGTAGCCTCGGAACGGAAAGCCTTCAAAATGGATAACAAATGAGCAACTGTTGGATAAAACTTACACATACCAAATACAGGCAGTGGGAGGTGGGGGAGGGGGTGGCGAATAGTGCACTATATGGCGCACTATCCGCAGCTATATAGTATCTGCACTATCTGCACTATCTGCACTATAGATGGTGCAGATGGTTAACGCGTGGATCTGGTAACGAAAATCATATCCGTAAAACTTCTGCTGCGAGAGATCTATGATGTTAAACGCGGGGCATACAAACCAAACGCATGACCAGCAGCTTCATTTGTTATTACCATGCGCATTCCCCAAACTTAATTCACAATCCGTGTTTTTTTTACTGCAGTCTTCCCCAGCCCGCGCTATCTGCACTATCTGCACTATAGATAGTGCAGGAAGTTAACACGTGGATCTGGTAACGAAAATCATATCCGTAAAACTTCTACTGCGAGAGATCTATGATGTTAAACGCGGGGCATACAAATCAAACGCATGACGAGCAGCCTCATTTGTTATTACCATGCGCATTCCTTAAACTTAATTCACAATCCGTGTTTTCTTACTGCAGTCTTCCCCAGCCCGCACTTACAAATGTAGTAAATAGGTAGTGGTACTTGTAATCGTTCATTTGGAGCTGCAGAATCTGAAAATGAGGCGTGTGGCGGATCAGCCGAGGCCATGTTATTTCATCTCACAGAATGTGACAGTTGTCCGCACACAACTGTTCAGCACACGTCGAAGCCAAAACTCCTATATGAAAACGACATCGCACCTGTTAGAATACAGTCGAAAACTGTGCACTTGTTAAATACAAATGAAACACACCGTTACAAGAGAGTTCACATTGCATCATGTGTCACGCATCAAAGTCCAGTCACAACGGCGTTACTCACCGCGCGAAGAAAAGTCGGCATCGATTCTGCCCTGGTGTCGACGATCAGGTTGAAAATTTCCCGGGATTTGACCTCCTTGAGGACGTGGCGGAACGTGTCCGGCGTACCCTGCCGGATCGCAATCTCTATTTCCATGTTCGGTGGTGTTCTTATTAAATCCTGGAGCTTTATTAGTCCTGCAACACCGAGCGGGATTCATCATGTCGCTGGTTAGTAGACTGGTCAACATATGTGTCTGGCGAAAACAACGCGTACGACATTTGAGTCAGGGATTCTAAATGACGTTCCTGCCTTGCCTGAGCAAGTAAAGTGCTCCTGTTCTGCATAAACAACTTAAGTGTTCCTGCCCTACATAAGCATGCGTCAGTAGTTCTACATACTTAAGAAACAGCCACACAATCCCTATGGCGCCGGCTGAGTGGTTGTACACCCGTTAGTTGATGGAGGTATGCGTTTTGTTCATCTGTCCGCCAGCTCCCGGCACGGAGATTCGGCAGCCCGTCAGGCTGTTGTGACGTCAGTCAGGCGCTGAAGCACCCCGCTGTTGCTGCGGTACCGCCTCGGACGCGGCGTCGCTGCAGGCGGCCGGCGCGGCAGCGTGGCAGGCAGCTGGCCGTGAGATAGCACCGGCTCGGCGCCCCGGCCGCGCCGGCCCACCAGCCCATTGGGGTCCGTCACGGCCATTAGGTCGGCGGGGCACGGCGCCACACGCCACCGGCGCCGCGCGTCGACCGCCGTCTCCAACCGCCGGACGTCCGGACACGGCGCCACACGCCACCGGCGCCGCGCGTCCGCCGCCGTCTCCAACCGCCGGACGTCCGGACACAGGCCCACACGCAACCGGCCATCTGGACACGGGTCCAGCCACAGCCGGCTATCTGGAGATGCACCTGATAGCCTGATTCATGCGTTCGCAGGCGACTGCGAGACCTAGGGAAGCGAATACAGGAGGGGGGAGGGAGGCAGCGAGTATGAGAAGGGACGGGAGGACGGAGGCAAGAAACAGTACCAACAGCCCAGATGTTGGAACATACGTAAGCAAGGAAGACATGAAAAGCTGTCCTGTAAATGAACCAACAGACTGTCGGCCGTCCTGGCCGTCTTCAGCCCAGTCGAATTTTGAGAGGTGTGGTCAGCCATCAAATCGACCGTAGTAAAGCCCCAGATCAAATAAATGCCAAAGAAAGGCAAAAAAAGCACCAAGCTAGTACCAACAATCGTGATAGCTTCCCGGACATATTAGAATCACCAGATGCCGACACGAGGTGAACGACCAACTGCCAGTTCTTGGGTGTATTTTTGTTTGTTTTCTTTTGCCCGCTAGTCTCATTTTAGGCGCCGTCTGCCTTCTGCCTCAGCCGTGCCAGTCAATCTTCTGAACGGTCATTGAAGCCGGCGTGCCGATGCATAGGGGCTGGGGGTGGGGGTGGTGGTGGGGGGGGGGGGGGGGGGGGGGGCGTTGGCCGTCGGGGCACGGCAAGCTTTCTGTTGCTCGCCAAATTGGGTCCGGACAGCAGGGTCCGGAACTGGCGAGCAGCCAAATTTCTGACCAAACAAATAGCGCTCTGCCCCGCACTACGACGGTGGGCCGCCGGCACCGGCCATGTGGTGACCACAGCGACTGCCGCACCGCCTGCAGGCCTCCAGCCAGGGCTCCGGGAGAGGCCCTGCGCGCGGGCCCGCAGCGAACGGACCGGGGGGGGGGGGGGGGGACGGCACTCACAACATTTACGTGGAGCGCTGGGCGCGGATGACCGGAAACTGGGCTCTAAAAGCACGGGTTGTTGATTTTACGGTATAAGCAAACATTGTATGAATGAGTCAAGTGCTGAATTTTTATCCATTCCATTTTTAGTGAAGTGCTTTATCAATCCAATCCATTTTTAGTTAAGTGCTGAATTTGAGTTGATCAGCTCAAACACAGCCGCTCTTCCAAACGTTTCAACGTTTTTGAACTTTTTTGCAAAAGTTTCAGCGATCAAGACTTAAACCCATCTTTCTTCCATTTAACTCGGCCGGCACTTGCAATGCTACTTCGCTCTCGAGTAGAGTGTTTTGCTTGCTCCAGCTCGATGCCACCACTCCAGTTGTGTGCTCGGCAACCGAGAGGGTTCGGTCGACTATCAGTGAGTGGAACGGACGTGTCGAATACAGATCCGCCTGACAGCCTCCGGGCCAATTCCGAGCGAGTACGGCCGCCCTCTCGCTCTCCGGAGCGCGGATCAGGCGCGCGGTCCGACTGCCACACTTCTCCTCCCCGAGCGCGGCCCAGGCACACGATCCGACTGCCGCAGTTCTCCTCCCCAAGCGCGGACTCCGCTCGCGGACTCTGCTCGCGGACTCTGTCCGTGGGCTGTGTTCATGGGCTCTGTTCGCGGACTCTGCTCGCGGACTCTGTTCGTGGGCTCTGTTCGCGGACTCTGCTCGCGGACTCTGCCCGTGGGCCCTGTGCATGGGTTCCGTTCGTGGGCTCTGTGCATGGGCTCTGTTCGTGGATTCTGTTCATGGACTCTGTTTGTGGACCCTGTTCATGGGCTCTGTTCGTGGACTCTGTTCATAGGCTCTGTTCGCGGACTCTGCTCGTGGACCCTGACAGGCAGGCCGACTCCAGCAGGCGGCCCTTGGCCAGCGGGCTCGGGCGGCCTGTGCAGGTCAGCCTACATGGCCTGGGACCTGTTCTTCAGTGACAAATGGGGCCCATTCCTGCTTGGAGTTGGCCCATTTAACGCATGACATAGCAGCCTGACTCACTGAATAAGTCACGACCCAAGCCCATCTCTAACTTGGCCGAGAAGCGAAGTGAGTGCGTTTGTTTACAATCAAGCCGTGGCTGTTTACATACCAACGCCTAACAACGGCCGAAGCGCTGCTTTTATGTCGGCTAAACGGGCAGGCCTCGATCGCATGCGAATAGTGTGATCGACAATGATCTCGTCGGCCATAGAATTTCCCAATAACAGTTTAATCGAAACGGCTCCAGTGTGACATTTCCGCGCACTGGAGGTCTCCATGGGATCGAATCAGCTGAAACTACTTGTTGCCAATGTTTGGGATTTTAGGCGTTCGTCAGTGCGCGTGACGGCTGCCGCCACAGGTTACAGGCCACATGTCAAAGGTCACAGGTCATTACCACAATGAGACGAGCTCGGGCCCCAAGTTCATGATGACCAGGGCCCTAGGGCTCACCTAAAAAAATGCGCCCGCCTCATGCTACCACCTCCCAATTGGTGCGTCGCGCGCCATCTCTTCACACCGCCCCCCCCCCCCCCCCCCCCCCCCCCCCACCTCTTGCCATCGCTGCAGCCGGGATACGCCAGGTCTCCGATAGATTGCCGCTCAAGTACATCCGGACGTCATGACGCAATATGGTGATCTCTGGCCATCTCGAGTGGCGGCCGACCGAACCGGGGCGGCCGCTATTGAGGACGGGGTTCAGCAAGGTCACCGCACACCGCACGCTTCGGACGATGCTGCTTGTTGACCATATTTGGGCTCTCACATGGCATGGTTCCACCATTACCAGCTGCTCATTGTGAGGAAGGTTCTCTTCAGACACAGCTGAAGACGGCTGTCGTCCTGCGGTCGACCAAGAGAAAACAAAGGTCGGAACGAGCCCTAATAATTTTTAGTTAATTTGTGCGTGGCCAACGAGTCCGATCCTTCGCCACAGCAAGGATCGGCTGCCTATGATGATGCCCCCTAAGCCTAATCATCGTGCCATGCTAAACCGCTCTCAGCGCCTAAATCCAGTCCCGCAATTCCATCTTCTTTTGGCACTCTCACCGCTGCCCGCTCTTTTCACCACATCCCTTACCAGCATCAACCCCTGCAGTGATCAGACGCTACCGGAGCCGGCTGCATGACCGGCCGTCGCCAACGCCTCTCACCTTTCTCATCGCCGCGTTGCCCGTGCCGCTCACCGTTCTCCTCCTCGTAGATGATGGCGACGCGGGTCCAGTTGAGGAAGGTCATGACGTCTCGCAGCGCTGCGTTCATTACGGGCTGATGAGGGTGCAGGTTGATACTGAACTCCTTGGCGTGTCGCTCCACGTCCAGCCGCGTCTCCACGTGCGGGATGTCGAGCGCGTCGCAGATGGACTGCACGTGCGCGCCGAGCAGCGGGTCCGACGGCCCGAAGATGGCGTACACGCCCTTCTCCACCAGCAGGCACGCTGTCGCACACAGATGGCAGCGGTCAGACCGGCCTGAGATGGCGCACACGCCCTTCTCCACCAGCAGGCACGCTGTCGCACACAGACGGCAGCGGTGAGACCAACCTGGGCCGTGCAACAGGGAAGAAAGGTGAATGAGAGCATTGTTGGACAGGGCGAAAAAGACAGAGCATTGAGACAAGAGAAGAGGAAGCGGAAAATTGTGTTTCTGACATTTCGTGACATTTTCAATATCAAAATCCCACTGTAATGTGGACCATACATCGCCTTTGCGCACAAACTCAGTAGACATTGAACATTCAGCACACGATAATATGCAAACCGAAAATAATAACCATTTTACCGCCTTTTTCACGCTGCAGCTGCAGACTTTCAAATTACCCAGGACGTAAAAGGTATAAGCGCCAACTGAACACGGTATCTTTCAGACCATATCAGCAATCCAACAACTATTAACCATGACAGTCTTACATTCCAAAGGGACGTGCCATGCATACCGGTCTCCGAATTCCGGTGCAATTGTTTCCCAGCACACCGCCGCCTGTCACCGAGTCCCTCGTCGCCTTATTCAGGCGGACGACAAGCATTCGCGGCGGACCGAAATTGGATTTGACAACGTCATCACAGGCTTCAGTATGACGGCAACGCTCCGCTTTGGAGACAGTTAGCGACGCAATTAGCATATTAAATTACGCGACATAACAGCGCCAAAGAGAGATTTCCTCGTTCCCCACTTTTTATCAGACAGCACGATTGCCGAGTTTACAGGCGGCCGCGATTCCCCAGGTCTAGGGACAAATGGTTTCTAAAATCTCGCGAACACATTTGCATTACAAATGATGGCCACTGCTTCTAACCAAGCCGGCTGCGTGTGTGATGCAGGGTAGACCCCGGCTTCCGCGTGGATATCGGCCAGTTGGCAACAGCAGGACAAGACATTTAGCCCGCAATTAGGAGGCCACTGCCCAGTATTGACGCTTTCCAGTCTATTACCAACCCTTGTTATTGCCAGATAGCGTCACACCGTACCCCTTACTATGCAGATGCCTCACCTCACAATGACAAAGCCCTAACACGTCTGCGTTAACCACTGCGCGTTTAGGAAACCAGAGGTACGGCGTTCGACTCCGCGCTGTGCCCGGACTTCCTGCCAGAGTGAGGGACAGGCGACACCACATCACTATAGCAGCTGAGTGCGCTGTAAAGCCCGATGACGACGAATAACAAAGCCCCGAGTTTACAAGCGGCACATGAAGTAGGGGGAGCGTTCCCCCCCCCCCCTCCGCAGTGCGTGGCCCGCGCGTCCGACCCCCCCCCCCCGCAGTGCGTGGCCCGGGCGTCTGCCGCCCCCCCCCTCGGCAATGCGTAGCCCGCGCGTCCGCCCCCCCCCTCCCCCCTCCCCCAGTGCGTGGCCCGCGCGTCCGCCCCCCCCCCCCCCCCGACAGTGCGTGGCCCGCGCGCCCGCCGCTCTCCGATCCGCCGGCCTAGTGAAGGATCGGCGCAGACGTCACCGCCAGTTACGGTATCGCCTGTTGGGCGGGGCGATCCCAGGAGAAGGACGACCACCGGCCCGGCCCGCTCCGCCTCAGCAGTCGGCCGCCGTCGTGTCGTCACCAGGGAACGAGCCGCTTGCTGTGGAGTATCAGGCGGGCGGGAGGTGCCGCAGCAGGTGGGAAGAAAGCAACATATTGCGGCTAGTTATGTGAACCCATGGTGCAAATCATTGGCTTTGGGAGTTTGCATCCAAAAAAATCCAGTGACCAGGTGTGTGACGCCTTATTGAAGCGATAGGATTGGTGCTGAAAGCCATCCGATACAACAAACAAGCGCAGGCATCGACCATCCTGGGATATTGCAGGAGCAACGGGCCTGCTCAACAACATTCACACCATTCTGTTAAGCGTCCAGAGCCACCAGAGTTTTTCATACACCTTGGGTATATTTTCAGCTTGATCCATTCCATTCCCACCAGCATATATTTCTCCACCAGTTTTGCATGCTTGCCATGCAGGTCTACTTCTCGTCATCGCACACGCACACTTCCTTCTTTCTACAAGCCTTCAGAGGAAACATTTTTTCCGGCATGCACCATGCCCGCATGGTCGTGCCCGCGCCCACCTGCTTCCCATAACACACAGACCCTACCCGCCCAATTCCCACTCTCTCAACTGCTCTATGTAAGGGACACAAATGTTTTGAGAAGCTTTCAGGAGATTTGCGGCACATTTGAATGCCTTTGTTGTTCTAAGATTAAACCGTCCATAATTAGACAAACAGCCATCACCAAGAGCATAACCAGCCCACCGCGCCTGCAGCTTTTCAAACAGTCAGCACCAAGCATGACCCATCAACCAGCCCGCCGCGCCTGCAGATCTCCTAACAGTTAGCACCAAGCATGACCCATCAACCAGCCCGCCGCGCCTGCAGCTCTCCTAACAGTTAGCACCAAGTACGACCCATCAAACAGCCCGCCGCGCCTGCAGCTCTCCTGACAGTCAGCACCAAGCACGACCCATCAACCAGCCCACCGCGCCTGCAGCCCTCCTAACAGCCAGCACCAAGTACGACCCGCAGCCAACCGGCCGCCGCGCCTGCAGCTCTCCTAGCAGTCAACACCAAGCACGACCCATCAACCAGCCCGCCGCGCCTGCAGCTCTCCTAACAGTCAGCACCAAGCACGACCCATCAACCAGCCCACCGCGCCTGCAGCCTTCCTAACAGCCAGCACCAAGCACGACCCACCGACCAGGCCACCGCGCCTGCAGCTCTCCTAACAGCCAGCACTAAGCACGACCCATAAACCAGCCCGCCGCTCCTGCAGCTCTCCTAACAGCCAGCACCAAGCACGACCCATCAAACAGCCCGCCGCGCCTGCAGATCTAACAGTCAGCACCAAGTAAGACCCGCAGCCAACCGGCTGCCGCGACTGCAGCTTTTCAAACAACGAATGACACACATCTAAATTCATAAACAAAACAAAACAAAGCTGAAACATCACAAGGGCAATAAATTTATTGATTACGATGACTCCAGACTCATGTCAAAGTGCTGGTCGCACTGTTCATTACGACGTCCATTCTGGTAACCTGTCGGGTCGCCGGCATTTACCTGATCTGTCCTTCAAGCTTTCGACATGTCTGTTCAGGTCGTGCAGGTCTCGTTTTAGTTTTAGGTGTTGAGACTGCCTGGCAGTGACATGATGCATTTCCGAAACCTCTTTCAGCATGGCGCGTAATGTGCGCAAGCTCTTCCCCAGTCTGCATGTCTACGACCACGCTATTCTGCATAAAACTATTTGCGCTCGGAACCTTCTTCCATGACGATAAAACGAGACCTTTCCCCGGCGGTCTCATCGCACCGTCTTGCTAGGATGCTTTCTGTGAACCTCATTCAACCCTAAGCTTCTCACAAGGCCGCAGTTTGACATTGGCTTCACATGGTAGTCTTTCGTAAAGCAACCTTTTATCAACCGAATTGTTTTTCTGAAAACAAAGATTTTTCATGCTGACGTCGAGAGTGAAAGTTTCAAAAGCCGAAGTCCAGGGAGAACTGAGGTTTTGGGGTTTCATAAGACCAACCTCATCGGCTGAGACCCATCCCCACCGATCGATAAAAAATAGTGACATCCTTGGATCAAAATTATTACTGTATGGGATCGTCACCTAGGCAAGCACAGAGACATAGTTTAGTCTTATTTTCCTCGAGACATTCCACACACCCACAATATAAGTTGGCAAGCTATTTAGCGGAATTAAATCTAACCGTTTCATCCACCAGAGTTTTGGAGTGAACGTGCTTCACCTTCTGCCCCAACCACAGCATTCTGGAGCTATCGCGATTCACCTTCTGCCCCAACCCAGCATTCTGGAGCTACCCCGCTTCACCTTCTGCCCCAACCCCAGCCTCCGTCCATGGAACACACTGAGCTCCGCGCTTCCCATTTCCTTCCGGAGAATGGGCCAGAAATGGCCTGATATATGATGATTTCGGATGGCAAAAACGCTAACAGCCCACCAAGATATTAGCTCTGTTTTTGTCACCATCCATTTCCAGTTTGTTGTGAGCATAATGGCACAGAAAGCATTAGAGTGAGTGATGGTGAGGAAACGTTATCTGCATGCGTTTTGTGTCCGGACAAAGTCAACGTTGACTGATGTCCATCTACAGTGAGTCAAACGTTGTCGGTTTGCGTTTTGTATTCAAAGTAAGCGTTACCTGATATTCGCCAGCAGCGAGTCAAACGTAAACTGGCTGAACTGCGTTTTGTGGTCAGGCAAGGCAAACATCGACGGACGTCTGTCAACAGCGAGTCAAACGTTAGCTGCATGCGTTTTGTGGTCAGGCAAGGCACACTTCGAGGTCTGTCAACAAAGGTCTGTCAACAGTGAGTCAAACGCGAACTCAAAACCAAGCCGCACCCATGGCTGGGACTTGAGATGTTTGCCAGGAGTCATCAATCATAGTTCTTTACCCGATTGCTTTGACCGAGCCTGGCAGCGCGTTTGCATTGCATGGCTTGATCTGAATGCTTCGGTATTCACGATAATAAAAACGGAAAAAGACTCATCCACGCGGAGGGAGGGGACGGGACACCCGCTCTCCAACCTGCGAAATAAATTGTGCGCGAGGCGTGGAGTGGGAATGTGCACTTGTGCGGGAGTTCCAGCTCAAATTATGTGCCATGTGTGAATGACTATCAAGTTTTGGTGCAATACTGCGTGTTTTCGTGTTATATGCAGGCATTGCATGGAAAGAGGTGACGATAATTCTAAGGTATTTAATTCATGCCTCTGAGGCATTGTAAAATCAGATGTTGCCGTACCATTTAGACAGTAGTGTGAAAATGTCACTTTGACTCAAAATCAGATGTTGCCGTACCATTTAGACAGTAATGTGATAATGTCACTTTGACTCAAAGTTACGACCATCCATACAGTAGCTTTTTTATTACGCAATGCCACTGGTGGTCAAAAACATAGGCATGTGTAGTACATATGAAACATAGGTGCCACTTGTAATATGCATGCCCTAACATTGGACAGTGTGTGGGGGAGTTCACGGACTGGTTAAACCCACGGGCACCCGCAGGGAATAGGTGACGGGTTGAGCTGGTTATAGCTCTGGGTGGGGCTGGGTAGCCGACTTAAGGAAAATTACAGTTTTGGAATATGAACAAGTTAATCGGTAAGGCTTTCACGAAATGTTGAGCTTTTACTTCAAGAAATACTACAGAGTGTTACTGCTCGAGCCCCTCAAAGTCAATTTTAACTGACTATTCAGGCTACCATTGCAAGTGCCCAGGCTAAAGAGAGTAAACTTGTGTGGAAACATTCCTGAAACATTTCCCCCATTTAGAACTACAGAGCTGGAGAAATGCAAACGGACTGGCAACGGGTGAGTGCAACTGATGAGTAATGGGTAGCGGGTGGTAGGTAGTGCACGACCAGCAGCGAATGAGCTGAGCACAGGGAATCTTATCTGCGAAGGCATACATAGAACCGTGTCAGGTACCTACTTGTCACTCTAGGATCGGAGAGGTCAAGGCTCGGTGCCTAGTCAGTGAATGGTGATTGGCGATGAATGCTTGCTTTTGGTGACATTGGTGACAATTAAATTTTAAAACAACAAAATCTCTCAAAAAAATGTGCGTTCAACTAAACTAACCTTAAGCCATGTATGTCACCTTCACACAGGGGTTTTAAGACTGCACACGGGTTAGTCAATGGAAAGTTGAGGTCTATTCAACGGAAAGCGCGTGGGCACGGATATGACAAGGCAGGTACAGGATTGGCAGGAGTATGAACATTCTACCCGTACACGCCACCACGGCATTTGCCACAGAATCCCGTTTTCAAGCAATCTCCGGTCATGACTGCGTTAATAGTAAGCAATCCGTATTAGATTTCGGACAAGACTTTAGGCGAGGATTCGCATCATGAACCAGTCAGTATCAACGACTCAAACTCCCATCCACTGACCGACTAGTTTCATTCATATATGACCGCTCGAAAGCTGGACTGGAACTGACATACTTCGTAAGCTTACACGGCGCGATTTATGAGTCAGCGTTTCGTGGCCTCTGCCTATGAATGTCGGCATGAGTCATCACATTCAAAAGTAGAGCTTGCGCAATCATCTTCGTCTTGTTACGTTCTCGGCCTCCTCCGGACCATCCTGCGCTCAACTGAGGCTGCAGCCTGAACCCGGCCCAGCCTGACCCTCCCCAGCTGACCCCGCTCTCCAGCTCCGGACCCCGCTACAGGTCTGACTCCGACTCACCCTGACCCTCCTCAGCTGACCCCGCTCTCCAGCTCCGGACCCCGCTACAGGTCTGACTCCGACTCACCCTGACCCCCCTCAGCTGACCCCGCTCTCCAGACCCGGACCCCGCTACAGGTCTGACTCCAGCCCACCCTGACCCTCCTCGGCTGACCCCGCTCTCCAGACCCGGACCCGCTACAGGTCTGACTCCGACTCACCCTGACCCTCCTCGGCTGACCCCGCTCTCCAGCCCCGGACCCCGCTACAGGTCTGACTCCAGCCCACCCTGACCCCCCTCAGCTGACCCCGCTCTCCAGACCCGGACCCGCTACAGTCTGACCCCGGCTCACCCTGAGTCTCCTCAGCTGACCCCGCTCTCCAGACCCGGACCCCGACTACAGCTCTCCAGACCCGGACCCCGACTACAGATCTGACCCCGGCTCACCCTGAGCCTCCTCAGCTGAGCCCGCTCTCCAGACCCGGACCCCGACTGCAGATCTGACCCCGGCTCACCCTGAGCCTTCTCAGCTGAGCCCGCTCTCCAGACCCGGACCCGCTACAGATCTGACCCCGGCTCACCCTGAGCCTCCTCAGCTGAGCCCGCTCTCCAGACCCGGATCCCAGCTACAGCTGACCCCGGCTACAGCTCTGACCCCGGCTCACACTGACCCTCCTAGGCTAACCCCGCTCTCCGACGCCGGGACTCCAGCCGCTCACCCTGTTTGCTGGCGTGGAAACTGTTGTCGCGCGGCGCGTACTCGATGTAGTGCTTCAGCGTGGTGTTGGGCAGGATCTTGCTGTCGCGGTTGACCCGCAGCACCGCGTACTTAAACGCCATTTCCACGGCGCTGTCGCGCTGGTCATCCGTGAATATGGCGCCTGGAAGAGGAAGCCCGCTCTCGTCAGGCCGCCGTCCACTCGTGACCCCGGCGGCACGGCCAGGCACTGGCTCGTGACCCCGGCGGCACGGCCAGGCACTGGCTCGTCCACTGGCTGGAGAGGCTGCAGGCGACATGTTATATGGCCGCTGGATGTGGTGGCTGGTCCGGGGGCGCCCGTTAAAGGGGGGTATTGATTCGATACGTAATTGATTTGACATGGAACTCGTCAAACGCCACTTTTATGTCAAAGCATTTCTATTATAATTATTATAAGGCCCATTAAAGCTCAGAGTTACTTTCTTCATATCGTGACAATCACACCTCCATATAATCACACCTCCACGAAACCGACACAACGACATTGGAAATCCAATCCAAAGTCAAGACAGTAACGTAAAACCGAAGTCGAACCCAAAACCAAAGCCGAGGCCCGGAGGTGAGAAACTGAGGTGGAAGCCGAATCCACTGCCTTTGGAGTTTGAAATTGTGAAGCTGAAGCAGAAGTAAGTGAATCCGTATCTTTAAAAAGCAACACTGAATCCGCTATCAGTTTCGATGCAGATTCATTTTCGATCCCGATTTAAATCCGAATCAGGATTTCGAAACTTCGAAAAAATCAAACTCTGCAAACGCAAAACCTGGCCTGAGTCATCGGCTTGGAACCTAGGAAATGCAGAGGCAAAGCCGAAACCAACAGGTAAAAATCACAGGGTCGAGGCCGAATCAGAATCTAGCATACAACATCGTTTTGAGAAACTATCATTTTCGCATCTGCTTAAACTGTATGTGGATCAGGAAGCATCACTAATGTTCCGCGGATGATTGGGGCAATGTTAGCATAAGGATGGACTTTTCCGAATCATCGACCTGTCCTTGTGTTGTACAGGACGTTTTGGAATTATTTTCTAGCAGTCTTCAGATATTGATAAGTTCCGGTAATGATCGGCTGGTTTTTTACTTTTAACTATTTGTGCGTTGCTACCTCGGAACGATGTGTGGGTTACGGGGCTGACAGAAAAGGTAAGACCGTTTCGTGAAGTAGGTCCGCAATTGCAGCGAAAAACAGAAGTTCAAGGTCAAACCAGGTCCGGATAGCCCGAAGCTGAATCCGTGGCCACAGCTAAAAAAATTTCGCAGCCGTAGCCGAAGGCAGCGGCTTAAATCACACCAAGCTGACATCATTCTTGTAAAATGGCTCAAACCGGGAGTCGAAACTGTTGGAGGATAAGCCACCAGACTTAGCTAAGCCGAGAGCGTAGCTGGGCTGGTCTCCATGCCTGGCTGATACACTTTACCACACGCCCTCGGATATTTTCCATGTGGGGAGATGGTCGATGCTTCCCAGATTCTTGCCTCCCGACCGTTAATCGAAGCCAATCACACAAATCACTGCCTCATTAGGCAGGCCAGATTACCATGCGTTATACGGCGCGGAAAACCTCCAGACCGCTGATAGGAGCCGAAGAAGGTGCTCGGATCGGAGGATAGACCCACTCTAGCAAGACCGAACGTGGCTGTAATTATGTGTCTGCATCACCTGTTGTCACTACACAATTGCCGACATGGACGAATCGGCTCCATGTACATTGAACAACACTTGAAAACACTGAACAGCTCAAAAGGCGCCCGAGCACCTGGCCGGGGCGGCACTGTTGTAGTGTACAGCTGTGTTGTGCGACATGGCGTGGGCGACGTGTCGGGTGGGGGTGATGCGTTTTGGGCGCGCGAGCAGGCCAGTTAATACGCATCGCCGACGAGGTTGGTGAAGAAGGCGGCATTGACGGCGAGTCGCTCGCAGCGGTAGTGGACGTGCATGACGGCCGCATAGCGACCAGCTGTTCCGCCGGCCGCTGTGCTCCACCACACCGAACAATGGGTAGAATATGTACTCTACCCAAGGCTCGGGTGCATCTGTGGCAGGTCTTCGGTGATGAAGAAACAGATCGGCGCCTGGTCCAGTTTCTCATGGAACTGCATGTGCCGGTTGACCGTACACAGTCTGAAGCTGCACATCTCGAGCCGCTTCAGGCGCGCAGTCAGCACCGGCGGTGCGCTGTGCACCAGCAGGTGCTTCCTGGCGCTAGTGTAGACTGTGCCACAGCCCGACTGGAATCGCCAGTGACGTCGCAGGGCTGGCCGGACGTTGGGCTAGCTCCAGGCTGGGCTCTCTCTGGGCTGTTCGGCCACTGGGCTACCTTCTGGCTGGGCTCTTGCTGGGCTGGCCGGCCGCTGGGCTAGCTCCCAGTCGGGCTCTCGCTTGATTGGCCGGCCGCTGGGCTGGCTCTCTGCTGAGCTGGCCGGTCGCTGGGCTAGCTCCTGGCTGGGCTCTCGCATGGCTGACCGGTCGCTGGGCTGGGCTCTCGCTGGGCTGGCCGGTCGCTGGGTTGGCTGGTCGCTAAGTTGGCCGGTCCCTGTGCTGGCTGCAGGCTGGGCTCCCGCTGGGCTGGCCGGTCGCGAGTCGGCGGCAGCGCAGCTCGGCGCGGCGCTCCCAGCCGAGCCGGCCGCAGCCTGCGAGCAGCTCGGACGCCGTATCCCGGTTCAGGCCGGTGAGCAGGCTACAGTGGCCGGGCGCCGGCTCGTCGTAGCGCGCCGACAGCGTCGTCAGCGCCCTGCTCAACCAGTCGGAGCGCGCGGGCGGTCTGCCGACGTCCCGACGACCGGACCAGACCAATACGCCGTTCGGGGCGGCTGCCCCGGGGCCGAGGTCCGCGATAGTGTTCCGTAATTGACTTTGCTTGACCTGTCCTTGTTCTTCTAACAACACTACTCCTTCTCGGTACTGCTCAGCCCCTGACGAAAACCTGATTCTTGATCGTGGTCGACACAAACTAACCCTTTCTTCGTCGATAACAACGCCAGGGGTTACGACGGACATTACCATATCCTGGGAGAGGCACAAAGCGAGAAACAAGATCCCATTTCGCCGGCCGCCAAAGCGCTGGGTTTGTGTGGTACCAGTGCTCTAGTCACCAGCTGTGACTACCTCTCTGTGTTACAGGCCCTGAGTGACTCGCGGACTCCAGTGAAGGTCCGGTCCCTGTTGATTCCACGGAGCGCTGTGTCCTCGGCGCGCCACCTGGGCAGCAGAGGCGGGCTTACTTCAAGGGGGTTTACTTATGGGGCATGTTTCAAAAACGTACTCCAATGAAACCGCAAGACCAGTTGCGTCTCATAATAACACTGGGTAGTTAGTGCCACTGCAGTGCCACCAAGGCATTATATGGGTATCAATTTCAACTATTTTCGAGGCCCAAACCACGCTGTCAACGCTTTGTAACAGCGCTACGCTTGTATATAGTTGCGACAGCCGTCGTCATGACGTCGGCAGAATCTGCTGTGTACCGCTGTTAGCTGTTACTGAATGACGTCGCCATACCTTACGCAGCCGAAAGAGATGAAATTTCAACGTAGCGACTAAGTTCGTTGTGGAGCTTAAGCAAGGAAGCGTAACGTAAAAGACACTGCTCTCGCCATCATCACTACCTCCCACAGGCCCTAGTTTACCTCCACGCGGTTATTTTTTGTTTACGTTTGGGTTTGCGTTTTCCTTGTTTCAGCTTACGGGCTATTTCCTTCGCTTTCTCGCTGCATTGTAAATGAGGCAGCAGAAACCTTGATCATGCATGCTAGTGTCGATATGGGGCTTTTCGATCCAAGCACGCCCGGGTACATTGGCTTAAAGGATCAAACCATCACCGTCCTGAGAAAAGCATATCCATTCGAATGTGAGCAGCCACGTTTCACTTGCACAAACCACCTGTCAAATAACGTCGCCGGAGCAGTGGGTCGTTATACGGCGATCAGCGCACACAAAGGACGGACGAGGCCTCGCGCTGAGGCGGGCTTTGTGGAGGCGTGTCCAGCTCGCGTGGCTCGTAGCTCGTGGGCGGTCGCTCGGAGAGCCAAGCCGGGCTGGCATCAGGCGCTCTGCCATCGCACTTTGGCACTAACCGGCAATGTGAGAACGGTGATTGGTGCTGTAAGTATGCTGGGAGCGATGGTTCGCGGTAGAGCTACGATATGGTACGATGGTGGGACGTAACAACAGAAAGAAATATTTGTTTGACTTCATCGTTGGCCATTGTGAGCGGGCAAATGTAAATCCATATCTAGCGTCGCCCGCTCTGTAAAATTTGTATCATCAACATTGGCTCGAGTCCCTGGTCAAAGAACTTAGCGTTCTATGCCTGCAAGCTAAGCCGTTCGCAATGAATACAAAAGGCGTAAAACCAGTTCATAACGAACATAGAATCTGCGGGAAGTATAGGATGCATCGTTTGGTATCCGATGAATGAATGGGTGGCATATCATCGGATGCATCGCTTGGGAAATGTCGTCTCAAACTGCTTTCCTGAAAACGCAACGCACTCTGAAACCAAGCAATGGCCATCGGCCACGACGAGCTCAGACACTCGGAAGGCGTGGCAGCGGCATGCTGCACGTTGTCGAGGACTTTCGCTGCGTCCGTGGTCGTTAGCGTCGTAACAAGGCCGTCTCGATCAATGCCACTGGCTAGTGAGCCGGCAAGAAACAACGTGGACGGGTCAAAGGCGACCCGGGCAAAAAATATTTTGTTCACACCCGGGGCATACAATGTGACAGTCCACCAACAACGGAATGAGGGGTTTTCCGTCTGTTGCTCGCAGAGTTTAGTTACCAGTGTCAACACTACGATTGATATGAGCTACTTCATCAATGTTTTTGTCTTGTAAAGGGGATGGGGAACAAAAAAAAGTTTCCTTACAACATTTCTGTCACAGAACAGGCAGGAATCGGGACGCCAAAGCCCATGACAGAAACGAAAAACCATTCCAGGCAAACCAAGTAGCAGAGCCTCGAATCATGACATTTTGAGTTTATCATCATAGCGACTGCAAATCGCACTAAGGGAGAAAACTATTATAGCCAAGAACCCTGTGGTTGTGGTCGTAACTTGTCTTTTCTCTAGACGGTAATAGACCAAAATTAGCTCCCTTTTTATCCGTTGAATTTACAAGG